TACATAGAACTAGCAATAGTTAGAGACACCCAGGGCTCACCCCCTGGCGGCCTTTGCCCTGATCAGGGATAGTGGAAAACGTGCAAGTCACGAGCCACGGCCGTAAAATATACACACACACACACATCTCCTGTTTCCCGTTTCCCTATTCCCTACCTCACTCTCAGTCTCCTTCTATTTTGGCTACAAGAACTGAAAGCGAGACTCGGGCTTGGAGAGTTATGGCCATTGTTCGCAAAACAAGCGAATTGACATACTACTTCGTTGATTTGAGAGACCATACACTGGATGGTATTGAAAGCCTCTGTCCGCTCGACAATGGACAGCAACACGATGCCCCAAGGAGTACGTTGGGAGCTTTGGAAAAACTCCCTTTGGAACTTCTTAACATGGTGCTCGTACAACTTGGAATCCGGTCACTTACCGACTTTCGACGCGTCAACCGACAAGCCAGACGGGTCGTAGATTCGATTCCACAATACCGAAAGATCATCCTGCACGCGCCTGCCACCATCCGAGGAATCCTGAGCATCGAAACAGGAGATTGGATCTCATGTCAAAATCTCTACGCAAAACTATGTACGGCTGAGTGCGACAGCTGCGGTGATTTTGGCGGATATTTATACTTGATAACTTGTCGTCGTGTTTGTTTTCTCTGCTTCACAGAGAAGACTGCTTATCTTCCACTGCTCCGAGCGGATGCCATGCGGAAATTTGGACTTGGTCGGGAGCACCTAGCGAATTTGCCTCGAATGAAAAGTGTTCCCGGCCCTTACTCACCACGGGAGATCAAATGTCGTACGCGACTTACACTCATTGATCATGACGCTGCGCGACAAGCTGGGATTCGTTTGCATGGGTCCGTCAGTGCCATGGAACATCGTACTGCAGAATTGGCATCTGAAAAATTAGAGAAGTATCAGCATCGAGCCTCACGACATGGAGCACGGCAAAGCCAACGTATGCGCCAGCCCAAATTAGGCGATGACTTTGATGGATTCTCGTCGAATCCCAAACGTTTCATGGGCATTGTTCGTGCACCGCTCATAGATACGCGCCTAGGAACTATTGAATGGGGTCTTCACTGTATCGCTTGCAAATCCCACCATTATGATAAGCCTCTTCATTGGCGCCGAATGTTCACAGGGGACGGTTTCAAGAATCATATCGCGGAATGCGGGGAGGTAATAAACGGACATCACAACAGACATTTGCATAATGATCAATGATCAATGACGACAATGACCGACACGCATAACGAGATCCACCACGTCAACCGTTTTGCCTCAGATGTACCAATCAATGCTGTCGCCGCTTCGACATTTTTCCTTCTGAACGTTCGTCTACCTGCGCATCTCGTCCTTGCCAGGTTTCACCATATGGCGTGCGCACATATGGAGGGACGGATCCAATGGCTCCCACCTCACTGGGGAGCATTTGACGTTTGTGCCAATCCTTTCCTCGCACTGTTTAAATTCCTCGGTTCTCTTACAGCCGCAGGTGTACATTTGGTAATACTGCTTACACATCCTAACCAAGTTAGTATTTCCACTATTTTACCTCAGCTCTTAGGTTGACTGTGCTTACCTTGAGCCGGAGGTTTCGGTCAAGCCAGCTCCGAGAAAAAATGGCTTTAACTAAAACATCGAAGACGCAGTCGTATATTTTGGTCTAAGGAGGTAGTTTGAGCGGTTGGTTAAGCGAAATCATGACAGTGTGGCAGAGGAAGGCAGGGCTTTTATAGATATAGCCCGGCTCGAGGGGAAAGCTCCAAAGTTTGCACCTGCATGAGGGCGTTAAAATGTAGCGAATTAAATATACATCACAGAGTTCCTCTCTGTATCTCGCTTCTGTCCTACCAGCGGCAATCAATCCAAACTTCTCTATACGCGCTGACTTGTGTCCACTGTGCAGACGCTCAGGCTCATTGCTTTGCTGGATCGAATCGCTTTGTTTACGACGACTATGGAGCCCTTTTTCCTTTTCATCGATCACTACTTTGGAACATCGTTCTATAAATGCATTGGCGCCTTCATGCTCGCTCTTTTCCTTTCGTGGTCCATACAATTGCCCGAGGCCTACGCCACCCTTAGGAACACTCAACTGGAGCTGCTGTTGCGCCCTTGCTTTGTTACTTGCGTCGAATACGAATTCCTTTACTGGCGTTACTCTGCCAATACCCATAATGTCGCAGAATTCAAAGAGCAAAATCGAATTGCTCCAGGCGGAAGTCGATGAAAACGACCAAAGTTTCTTCCGATTACTAGTCGACGGACACGCCATCAAATACATCACCATCGAACCTCGAACCTACAGCGCAGAAGATATGTGCTTCGGCCCATCTCTGGCTTCCGTTCTTCCCGACCTTCCCCCTGGAAATTGGAACGATGGACTGGTAGCTAGAGATGGGGAAAATGGGCAACCGCGCTTCACACGTGTTACTCAGACCGCGTTTGCCAGCGTCAGGAATACGTGGCATAGCACGTACGTCGACTACCTGGGGATTATCGTGGGTAGGAAATTACGAACAGGCGTCTATGAGGTTAGCTGCCCATTATTCGACAACGTTGTCGTCGCAAAATTCGCCCGCTTTGACTGGGAGGCGCAGTACATGGAGAATGAAACTACGGCTTACCAATGGATCGACGGTTCTAGTATTGGACCCCGGTTTCTCGGCCACTTGACTGAGGACGGACGGGTGATAGGGTTCTTAATGGAGCGTATCACAGATGCACGGCATGCGGGCCCTCAAGACCTTCAGGCCTGCCAGGAAACATTGTCTCGGCTGCATGAGTTGGGAATCCGGCATGGTGATACAAACCGCTTTAACTTTTTGATCGGTCAATCGAAGGCAATCTTGATCGACTTCGACACGGCCCAGAAGTGCGACAATCAGGATTCATTGTTAGAAGAGTTCGAAGATCTACCTCGGCGGCTGAACGATTCGTCTAATAGGGGTGGTGGGGGGATTCTCTAGCGATCGTCCGCGGGCAGTAGGTGTAAGAAGCCAGGAGCACCTTGGCTGCAGGAAAGTGGAAAGTGGAAATTGGAAAAGAAGGAAGGACATTACGACATTCCTGCTAGAACAAGACGAGGCCCAGATCACTGAGAAGGGGACCATAGCCGCCGCTGGAAAAGGAGGAAGTAGGAGATCATGGTACTCTAAAGACCTGTCTGTGATGAGTCGAAATAGTGTGAAAATTAGCTCGCACGCAGTTACGAATAGCCTATTGCGCGAGGACAGTCTCGCAGGACCTTTCTCTCAGATCTTCAGGTGGCTAGCTGTGGAATATCACATTTGAGGGCGTATCAGCAGCGACACGACTCACAAGAGGGAAACCTGCAGACGAAGCCCCCGAACCCTAAAGCCAAGATAAAACAGTTCCAAGAAGACAAGCGAGAGCCAATGAGGAATGTGCATAGAGAGAGGCTGTCTACAGCGAAACGCAGCCCTTTCGCGACGTCCTCGCAGGCGCGTTTACTTACTGCTCACGCGCGCTGTCGCACGCCCAAGACCCTGAAAAGACCATTTCGTTCAGGTAGCTATTTCTCAATTTCCCTCAGGGAGATAGAGAAACTTTTCTCCATTCTCCTAACCAAGACCTCTTTTTCAATGCGGTAGGCCACTGCTAGCTCAATGCGCTCGTTCAAGAAGACCGCTGTTGATAGAGCTGTAGTGGCCGCTGATCTGGTGAAGTAGTTGGCTGGTAGCAATCTGGAACAACATGATCTCGACCTCATATTAGACGCCAGCATAGTACTGTCGGGGGAGAATCGAGGCTGTCAAAATCAAATGTTACCTTATCCTTCGAGGTAGAAAGATTCCGCATTTTCATTGTACCAGCGTTGGTGCAGATGCCAGCCTCAGGCCATCTGGAGAGCATTTCATGCTCCTCACTTGGACGGGAAGTAGTAATGACAACGATCATGGGATTATGGTGTACTTACAGGGTGCAGGTTTATAGACCGCGTGTAACTTCGGCGTGAAGAACCCAATCGACATGTTAGAGGAAGACCGCTGGATCACCTTGCCGTCGATTGGCCAGACTCTCGATAAGCGTATATACGTACAGAGTATATACCCTGGGTATATTGAGATCATCCGAAGCTTTATCAGGACGACTGTGGTGATACCCTGAGATTCATCGAGGAGGGATTGATGCAGCTGAGTTGCTAGCAGTGTTTTCTGTAGTAGACAGATAGGAGATAGAGGAGCTTGATTCCATGATATAGTGTCTCTGACCTGCTATATACTAGCGATCATGGAGATCTGCTTCATAACCCATCACAACTACGACACGTCTCTCACGAGATCCATCGGATGAACTATTGGTATAATTCCACCATACCAAAACTAGGTGGTCCATAGGCTGCTACCGCCAGTCCTGGCCGGATATTGACATGGAAGCTTCAGGTCCTTTCTCGTGCTAATCTCATAACAATAGCAGTCTATCATGGTATCATACAAGTCATAACATGAACCCATCACAAATGATCCTATACAGTGGTTGATTTACCCTCTGTTTCCTGGATCGCCGGAACACTCTCCGTCTCGCGTCCATAGTTCGATTTCGGGCCCAGCTCGTCATCATGCTTCTGGGACATGAACAGAATGACCGTACTGCCCTGCGTCAGCATTCTCCTCTGCACCCTAAATCCAAAGACAGTGACACACCTCGCAACAGTCGCAACCCAACCAGGCCACGCAAAGACAACAGACGCAATCGCTTTGGGGTTCGTCCGGTATTCTGCAGGATGTTAGCCCAGCTACGGAGTCATCGACATGGTGGGTACATACTCAGAGCAGGCTTTTTGGCCGATTCCTCCCAGAATTTCCGGGCGGATGCCGGGTTGGTCCCGGTGATACGGGCGCTGTGTGTAGCAGTGATGATCTAGACTCATGAGCAGTTGAACAGCAGTGATCCAGAATCAAGGTCATACAGTCATGGTCAGAGCCGAACCAAGCATCATCACCGACACGACCACCGCACATATCTTCCACGCCAACCGAACAGATCTACTCTCGTGCCTTTCCGGCCAGAACAGGTCGAAGAAAAACGCGGCGCCGAAGATCGTTGCAACGGAGACTCCGACGACGATGTTATAGGAGGCCGCGCCGATGAAGTCGTTGTTGTGGACTTTGGCTTCGGGGTGGTGTTTCTGGATATCATCTTGTTGGTCGAGATAGTCTGGACACAACCAAGATTAGATTGGTTGTACTCGCGGACAATGGGGTAAAGTACCCGACAATGCTGCCGTTCCGACCGACTCGGAAATGACGCAGAATATCATGGCCATCTGGTAGACAATCATCTTTGTGCGACGCAGGTGGTAGGCACGGTTGAACATGTGCCCTCCTGAGAATTTGCGCCATCGTATTTCGTGGAGATCGAGGCCCCATATGATGGCCATTGAATTAGTGATGTTTTCAGAGGAGTATATATCAGAGTATGTATCGTCAAACAAATTGATGCTGCCCAGAAGTCAAGCAAGGCAAGAGATTAAAATCAAGAGCACAGAGAAACGAGGGAATGAAGGGTTTCATTTGGACAGCTCAGATCTCCAGAGCGACAGAGTACAGACATATACAACTGGCAAATGCCAAATGACTAATGTTGCACAACCCTAGAAACTGGTTTCTTTTTGCTGAGAACTGGTCGTGACGTCAACACAATAGGAAGACATTCTGAATGGCCAAAAGCCACAGAACGTCATCAGTGCAGATCTTCATGAGGTTTCTACAAATAGCATCTTATCTCTTATCTTGTATATTCTACTCTACCCAGAGTATTAAGCAGCTTCCTATATCGACTATCGTCAAATTATCAAAGACATACTCGGCTGTGGCTAAACTAAGACCAGAACCAAAGATGGGTCCCGTCCCAGCCTTATATCAATCATAAAGGCTTATTAGGCTGGCCAAGAACACTTACTCTGGCCAAGAACAACTTGACTATTGGAACTGATGACGACTTGGCCATGCAAGGATCAACACCTTGGTAAAATATAAGCTGATACTCCTCGACTCTCGAAATCTGTATGGAGTCACATCTTTATCACACTGTAAACTAATGGACATCCACCCAAATTATATATGATACTCTCAAGCGCAAGCTATTGATGTTATTATTATAACCTCCATAAGATACGTGATCTAAGACCGCCTTTAGGTTAAGCATATTAAGCATTTTAAATTAGCACTGTTCAAAAACATAGTTCACAGCCAAGCTTATTTATTGGATACTTGTTCTTTACTAATGATTCTCAGTCTCAGCTATGGTCATGCTCAACTGAGAGTATATCCCCTCATGGAAAACCACCCGACAGAACGACTCCAGCTCAGCCGCATTCTATCTCTCCCATTATGCATATGCTTGGTCGTTGACGGTACTTTTGAACCAGCATAATACCAAACAATGAGTAAACCCGTGCCCCTCCTCCCCTAAGATGCGAGGTCGGAAGCACGATCTGCGTCCTGTCACCTCAAATCAGATGTCACACCGTAAGCTGCGAATGTCGCTGAAGTCGGGCATGCTGATCAAGGGAACGTCCTCCCTGCCATCCCATCTAGGCGCGACGAAGGTGAGATACCCTCGGGACCAGGCAGGTGGGAGAATCCCTATTCCAGATCTCTATGGCCCTTCGCAGGCCCACTTATCAATAGAGCATTGAAGGTCGTTTGTCCAAGGGAGCTGATATTTCAAAGAAAAAACTCTCGATGAACCCCCAGAGGAAATACCCCACGATCCACATCCTGTGCGAGAAGACGTGGTCCCAGAAGATCGGCCGAATGATGGAATTCCCCCGGAGCACGCTGGACCCGGATTGATCGCAGGCTTGTCAACCCTGCTGCATTGGAGGCTGGCCAGGAGCGTTTCATGAAAGATGCTAACCACGTCATCGCTCTGCGAGTCTTGACCAAGGAGGAGATTGAGGCCTATGTTATGATTTGAAGATGCAGGAAATCAGGGTACGATGACTTTGTCTACAAATAATTAGGCCGACGAGCTCACAAAGAGGTAAATACTCGGTACCATGAGTCTCTCAAAGCATAAGGTGTGCGCGATAACCAATGAGACCTCTCCCACGGTGCATTCTACAGGATTTAGCTGGAAGATTATCGGCTGCTATACGGACTAAAGGAGCATGGATAATCATGGTCTATTATGGAAAGGAGGAGACGATCAGTAAGGCGATATGGCTCCCAAGGGCCATGGCCATCATCGGGGACGACTTTATTTTTATTCTTTTTCCCACAGTCGGTTGGCCCAGTATTACCATGAGATGACGGCGACATGATGGTCAGCGTAGACCCCTGCGCTTGAGCACTGACAATGGTGGAGGAGACAAGCAGGATTTAGAGTCGAGACGCCATCAGCTGTTAATCGGGCTGCATGAAGAGGTGATTGAGCATTGAATGCATCCTCTCCACTACTAAGTGAAAGCAGAGATGCACGAGTATGTGCAATGTCTGCGACTTAATGCCTGCTTAAAATTGATACTATTCATATAAGGTGTAGACTTGTTTTCTCCCTCTTCCTTCCAAGAGGGTGACAGCGATTGTCTTTACCGGACATCGTCATTCGTCATGCTCATGCTCACCTTGGATAAAATCGACATCATCTTACAGTGTTTGATACTCCTCAGAACAGAGCCAACATACGTCACACGGTCAGCCTCTATGATAGCAAAGTCACATCATCATGTTCGTCGTCAATCATAGGCGCCATCAGCAGCCAAATAACGAACCAAACCACTCAATGGAACTCCAAGCAATTGCACATCCATCGTATCGTAGAAGCAAATCAAATGACATCAAATCCCGTATGGTCCAGCCATCCCATTCGTTCCAATCATCCATGCTGTCTGGTTGCCGAGCTACATCGCATTACAGCTTCTGATCAGGCGGACGAGTACCGATCGATTTCCTCTTCTCCTTTCGTAAGTTCCTCTCCGCTTCAAGAAGGAAGGACTGGACGCATTTGCTGCCGCCTGGGTCTTTTCTTACTCGTTCATCATTCAGCAGCGCCGTCAGGGTGGCCTTGATGCTGTTGTGGTATTCGCGGATCTGGATGTCGGTGTTGCTGCCGGGGGAGACGTGTTTGGCCGCAGCAGATTCGTGGTCGTCGGCTGGGGAGGTGTAGGAGGCGGGTCGTTTGTCGGCGATGGCCGAGTGGATGGTAGGCAGCTGGTTGGCAGATGCTGCTGGCTGCGGCGATGGAGGGACGGGGACCATTTTGATGGGAGAAGACGCTGGTTGTAGATTGTCTAGAGAGGAGAATTGAACTTGTTGAAGCTCGAGGCTGCAGGTCTGGCACTCTGACGGTCTTATAAGCTGCAGCTCGCTGAAGCACAACGTACAATATCCTCAACAAACGGATCGACCCTTGTTTCCGCCACAGACTGCCTTTTTTTTGTATACATAGCGGCCCTCTTGGCACTCGTAATATGCGCCAATAGAAACAAGGTAGCGCTCTGTTCGCAGCATCACACCCACGGCGCGTCCCCTGTTGCTTGACCTGGCTGTCATTTCCTGCCAATGAAGAGCCTGATGCCATCATGCCGCTGTCAGGCCAGAGTCTCTACTCTTTACAAGGTTTTGGCAAGTTTTGATGTATCGTGCCATATTTGGTGATATCACAACCTAAATTGTACTCTGCCTGTCCCCTTTGAGTCTACTGTAGGGCATACGTAATTACTGCCTGGAGTACCCCACGCGTCATAGTATGATTCTTCATTATTGATAGTGTCATGCCGCCGCTTATATCATTCTGTCTATGGATTTTCTACTGCATCCTGGCTACTGTTGGCAGGTCCTTTTCGCCTCTGCCCAGCCTCATGGCCTGTGCTCACTGGGTGTCGGCTGAAGACCGAAGGCGATACTCCTTGTATCATTCTCCACAACTCGACCCTTCTTGGTCTCCTGCGGGGCCATCTGCTGTTTGCAGAATGACTGTAGACCAGGGGACTAGAAGATTTCCAGTCTTGACGTCCCATCAGTGTGTGATTTCGCCCCTGGATATACACAGTCTGGATGTCCCACAACGTATCCTAGCGAATGAGACTTCAGACAGGTAGTATATATGAGCACGGAACGTCAGGATGACTCAATTGTGTCGATCTCCACGTGGAAGCCTCATTAGGAACAGAGGTTATGGTTATGCTGGATTACTCCGACATGACTCATGAGGATAGCAATGGTCTACGGGTTACAATTTCCAAGACTTGAGTTGGTCTTGCAATATGATAATTATGACAGACTAACATTCTACTATATCTAGTCTATATGAAACTACATACAAGTCTTCTCATGCTGCGTAGTTTGAGGTGACCTCAATAGCCTCATCCTATTGACGTCATTGGTGCAACCGGGGATGAGCTTGGCATTTGTATGGGCATAAAGACTACTTCTCTAGAGTAGATCTACCTCTCTCCTCTTAGCTCGAACGCCTCCGTCCTGCATTCCTCCGCTCCATCCACACGCCCATCGTACCAAACACCCCCAAACACCCACACGTCATAAAAGCGGGCCCCCAGATCGCGGGCGTAAACTGCCCCTTGAGCAGATTCCGCCTCACTGACAGATACCGAAAAATCCCATACCCAAACGACCACACACTGATGGCTTGGCAGAGCGTCGCTGCAGAAAACCCACTTTCCAAATACAGGCTGATGTGATTTGGCGTTGCGGAATGCTGCGGTTCTTCCAGTTGGCTGCTGCTGTTGCCCGAGCGCGCGGCTCCGGCTCCGGCATTCTCGGGAATCACGACTACGTTCAGTTTGGTGCTTGACAATGCCGAGGAGAGCATGCGATCAATTGCATCTAGACGGCCGAGGGCCAGCGCCATGGCTGCGAAGCCCAGCCCCATGCGTGTCCATGAGAGAAAAGTTCTTTCGTTCGCTTGGTGGTCACGCAATTGGGAGCCGGTGTTGGCGACGCGTTGGGGGAGGATCCGGCGCCACAAAGAGGTCATTAGAGGCAATAGATTGTAGTGATTAGTTTCGGTGCTTAGAGTTAAGTAGCAACAGAAGGTACAGTTTGTGGAGGGTGGATTGTTGAGGTCAGGGTTAGCCTGATTGAAGAATCTTCAAGTATAAATGAATCAATCAACAACAGCCAATGGATAGATTGAAGAATAATAAGCCCCGTATACTTTCCACTATTGCATGATTTTTTCCTTTCGGCCGGTATGGCATTCGCGACACGTGATCCTGGCTGGACGTCTGCTTATCATTAACATCACACCACTCATGATGGGAATGCAAAATATTTGTGCTATCAGCCTGAATATTGAAGGTTGTATTTAGTTGAGTGTTGTGCGCGTATAGACTGAATCCTAGGGTGCGTCTCAGCTTGAGCATCTCCCGCCATTCAATATATTCTTACAGCCAATGGGAATATCTCTAACATGCACATAGTGACAGAGGAGCCATAGTAAATTCTGATATATAAGCGAAAATCGAAGTTATTGCTGTCCAGTACATATGATTGTCAATCATTTCTGGTTCCCTCTAGTACTGTACATCCTAAGGAAACAGTGCGAAATCAACTACGCGCACCGCAGGAGAAAACAGAGCTCGCCGGATTTTGATGAATAGAGGCACCAGATGCATAAAGACCAAGGGCACACTAGATCAATCAGCCTGCTGTGCTAGATCAACCACGGATGATATATAACTTACCACAACCAGTCCAATACACACCGATGAAACATTGACAACAGTCAAGAAAATCTTTGTCCGCGTCAAGAACCACATCCCCTTGTTCATGTACAGCCAGAATACCCTTTCAAATCACTTAGCCCTGAATTGCAGGCAGAGCTGAATCAGTTGATGAATGACGCGGGCACAAGGACGGTTTAAATGTGCTAGATGATACCTGCCTCAAGGCTTTGACGGAAAGTGTAATGAACCAATGAAGATAATGCCCTTGACTCGGTAGTCCATTATACCGGCTCCAATGATGGTTTGACTGAAATTGAAGTATTGCGTTGACATATTAATACATTTAGTACCGGCGCAGGGTATCATTATACAAGTGTATCAGCAAAAAAAGAGGCCATATTTGCTTTTGTTTGACAAAGTCAATCCACGTTGGCATCGAGTCCCGTCTATTTGTCTCCAAATGCTGGTCCTTCTGGTTCCATACATTAGTCAAGATTTCCCTGGCTGTCTTGAATATGGGAAACCGGCAGATCGACGCTGCACTGTTGAAGAATTGAAGGACTGCGTCCCGCCTAGAGGGTGTGAGCGCCTCACACCCGGCAATAAACATTGGCCAAGCCGTTGCTGGGCTCATGGGATACTCTGCTGGCACGACATTCTGAAAGTCAGCCAACGCCGTGATAGCATTGTCCACATAGCCAGCCAGAACAGCAGGATGGACTTGGCGAACCCGCCGGTAAAAGAAAATCACCAGTGCGCTGTTCAATGCTCGCAACATGGGCTCATGGGGTTTGGATGAGTCCAGGTGCTCGGGGTGTGCCCGACAATTGTGTCGCAGAACAAATGAGCTGATCATATTTTCCAAGTGCTCACTGTGGCGGTGGAGTGCTTCCCATGCCTCGAGGGAAGCCTTCCTCTGGGATTGACCTGCAATTCGAAACGTCTCCATCACGTTGGCGAGCCTCGTGGTCTGGGATACGAGTGTGAACCACGTCTCGGGGATGCCGTAGATCTGCTTGTACAGTGTGTCCGAAAAGTTCCGTGAGTCCTGTAGATGAATATCATGTAAGCCGGTCTGCTGATCTACGGGAGAACGAAACCGCCTTCGACCGCTACAAGATCCTTCCTCGCGTTCCGAGAAATGTCGACCACGGTGATATGACCACAGAAATCCTAGGTACCAAGGTTTCCCTCCCATTTGGATTCAGCCCTGCTGCGTCGCAGAAACTAGCCCATGCAGATGGAGAACTGGCGGCATCGAGGGCTGCAGCAAAGTATGCTATCTGCATGGGTCTCTCGTCATATTCGAATTACTCCCTGGAGGATGTGGCCGCGCAGGGCACCGGGAACCCTTATGTGATGCAGATGTGTGTGTTGCGGGATCGATCAATTACACTTCAGCTACTGGAACGAGCTGAAAGTATATTTCTCCTCTTCCGGCCTGACATCGAGACGCACTAAACATGAAGCAGAGCGGGATACAAGGCACTATTCCTCTCTGTCGATGTTCCTGTGCTCGGGAAGCGCCTGAATGAATATCACAACAACTATTCTCATCCGGAAGATATGAACTGGCCGAACATCCTCAGCTGCAGGGCTGATACCTCAAACCGCACTGATTATGGTAAGAATCATAGTCCCGAGCGGTTTCGCTCTAACCCAAGCAGATCCAAGTCTCGACTGGGAAAGAACAATCCCGTGGCTGAGGAAACATACCTCGTTGCAGATATGGCTCAAAGGGAGTACGCCGCATTCTATTCCTCATCAGTATGAGCGTATTCTCTCGCACATCGAGACAGCTAAGAAAGAAGGTGGCAAAGTCGTCATTGGTGGAGGTGCCCATGTCCCCAGCGGAGACAGAAACAAAGATGGCTATTTTGTCCAGCCTACTGTTTTCACTGGTACTACAGACTCCATGGCTATCGTGCGCGAGGAGGTCTTCGGCCCCGTGGTGATTATCGAGCCATTCGCAACGGAAGAGGAAGCTATCCGCCGGGCCAATGATACCATCTATGGTCTTGGGGCCGCAGTGTTCACAAAGGATCTGGAACGGGCGCATAGGGTTGCGGCAGAGATTGATTCGGGAATGGTCTGGATCAATAGTAGTCAAGACTGTGATCCTCGTGTGCCGTTTGGGGGGGGAAGGGGGGTCAAGCCGAGCGGCATTGGGCGGGAAATTGGTGAAGCTGGTCTGGCAGCCTATAGTCGGATCAAGGCCGTACATGTCAACAAGGGAAGTAGGCTGTGATATAATCTGACTGGGAATCAGACTTACATAGGTATTGAAGAGGAACGAAAGTATCTTTGTTCAGTGACTCGTGATACAGAGAGGAAAATTGCGTTAAACTATAACTATCTGTGGAAGGGACACATTGCTGAACATGCACCTGCTTGAGGTTGACCATGATCTCTTCATCTAGATGGCATAGAACAGAAGGTTCACTGCATTTGATAGCCACAGGAAGTTGAGCTAACCCATCTGAGAAGTATTTGACTGACACAATGGAAACAACAGCAGCGGATTCTTGGCATTATGCTGTAGGTGTCTTGGAAGAAGAATGTCGGCGTCGGGGGTATTGTGTCGTCCCGATTCCGATGTCTTGGCGTGCTAACTTGCTGAATTTGCATCCATCAACGGGCCCGAAGGAGCCGGACGTGTTACTGTTTGAGGCTGACCCCGAGCCGAGGCATCTAACTGCTTCCCAACACCACCATTGATTGGCTGAACCGGCAGCTACGTTGGGATTTTTCTACAATTCAAGATCACTAATCTGATAAGATACAGAGGTACAGGTCAAGGAAAATTCTCCTCATCACCAACACCCTCTTTTCCTCTTTCTCTCGGTTCTCTTACCTGTATATATGATTAAGCCTTAATCTCTGATTCTCATACTGAAATATAAACGCAGAGGCAGTAACAAATAATGGACTCCATACTCTCATTGGCCAGCTCGCTCTGGCAGTCTCTCACCTTCTGGAAAGCCCTTGCCATCGGGTTCGCATTGCTGAATCTCAAGACCCTACCTTTGGTTTGGCACGTAAGATACTCACCCTCCTCTTGTTTCAGTGTATTCCTAAGAACAACCAGATTCGCGTCTACCGCTACTACTTCCAGAATGGCTACCTCTTCACCCCCGCCGTCGAGCAACCGCCCTCCCCCAGCACCGACATCCTCAAACCGAAAAGCATCTTCACCCGCGCGCCAATCATGGAAATCGACATGAACATGCACAAGTCCAACTCGACGTACTTCTCCGACCTGGACGTCTCCCGAACAGCCCTCATGGGCTCCTTGATGATCAAGGGCGCCGCATTGCTCGAGAAACACCTCCAGAAGCAGGGCAAACGCGGCCCACTCCACTTCGTTCTCGGCGGGGTCTATACGAGCTTCAAGCGCGAGATTCCAGCCTATATGAAGTACGAGGTCCAGTCCCATATCGCCTCTTTCGACGATAAATGGATTTATATCGTGACCTACTTCAGGAAAATGAAGGTCTCAGCCGATACAGAGGAGGCTCATAAGAAGAGGCTGCTTGCTGTTTCGATTAGCAAGTACGTGCTCAAGAAGGGGAGGTATACGGTTCCTCCCAAGGATGCATTTGAGGCGGCTGGGTATAGGCCTTTGATTGCGCCTGCGGCGAATGGTACGGCCAATGGCACTGCGGCGGAGGAGGTCAAATCTGGTCGTGCTTGGGATGATAACAGTGAGTGGGGGCAATTGCAGAAGGAGATTCTCAAAGGAAAGGAAATGGTTCAACCGTTTATTGACCAGGAGGAGAAGCTGTTGGGTGATTATATGGAGAAGATGAAGCTCCCTGCGTTTGCATAGATTGCTGGCCGACACTCGAGATAGACTGGGTGGTGAATAGATATGTCCCTCGGACGAGATGTTATAGACATGTACCATATTTTGCATAAGATATAGATTTCCTTTAATGAGGATAATTGTTAAACTTGATCGCAATTACATCGAGAATGCACATACAAAGACATCAAAAAAGGAACCTAATCCTGGCCCCTGAAAATTATCTGGAACGATACATTCAAATAATCACTGTCCCCAATCCCTGGGTTGCGACATGCCAGATCGAAGGCGCGATTCTTCCGGTCAATATGTTCGCTTAGATTGTCCTTTCTGCTGAACCTCATACCACAAGACTTGACAGGACAGCCATGAAGCGAGGAGATAGATGAACACATTTGACATGGCGCCTGAGGTCTGCCTCACGATTGAATGGTCGAGTGTATGCGCATCCTTGCCATTTACATAAGTAACAAGCTCCTAAATAAAATTAGTCACCTTTGCATCTTTCTTATATGTATGCCACGAACTAATCATATCATATAAATCTAGAACCTTACTTTGAAAGGCATGTTTATCTCCACAACATGATTTGAGATAAGAGCAATCAATCGGGAGGAAATTTCATGCCTGGTAGGGGGCACTCAGCATGTATCTGGGGACAAAATTGTATCATTCTTAGCTGATTTGGTAGCACAAGCATTCTATCACCCGCCAAAATATCATTAAACACAGAGTAGGCATATCTAGGTCATCCCTTACGTCGGACAGTAACACAATGTGAGGTATCATTTATCCCCTAGCCAATCACGTAGTACAAGGATTCCATCCCTGACCAAAATATCATTTCTTAGGTAGTACGGAGTCGGTATATCTAGGTCATCCCTTGCATATGGCAGCAGCGAAGATTGTTTATTAAAGCTCTGACACTCAGTCAGGCAACTTTAGTCCCTGCTCTTTTACTCCACTCCATCTCAGGCATAGTGTCGCCTGTGGATTTAAAGCTCCGTTGACATGTTGTTCACAGTTCTGTCATGCCTCCTGGCGGCTCTTCTAGCCTTTGTTATGTCATGTCGCTCTTCTCGAAGTCAGGAGAAAGAGAAACCTCTCCCTCCGGGCCCGCCGAAGCTTCCTGTGATTGGCAATCTTCATCAGGTTCCTCGATTACGGTTCTGGGAAACCATGGCGGACTTTGTTGATCGGCACGGACCGATCGTCAGTGTGAAACTGGGGCAGCAGCAGCTCATTATCCTGGGAAACCAAAAAGTTGCCCGATATCTTCTTGATCGCAAGAATACCAAATACAACTCCCGGCCCCATTTCAGAGTGGCAGAGAGGGCTTGGCTCGGGCCAATGGTGGCTCTCATGCCTTACGGTCCAGAATGGCGTGTTTACCACCTGATGCAGGTAGCTGTCTTGAGCTCTCGTGCGGTTCGCCTCTACGACAAGATCTTCAGTATGGAAACCACCCAGCTGCTGCATGACCTACTCTCTACCAGCGACTATCAACCTCGAATCCGCCGCTATTCGTCCGGCCTCGCTTATGCGGTGGCATATGGCATGCGAATGCCTCGTGGGGATGAGTTGGAAATTCAGGAGATTCAAGAGATTACCTCTAAATTTTTTATCGCCGCGCAGCCAGGGTACTGGTCGGTAGACAACTTTCCCTTCTTACGATATCTTCCCGGTTTTCTGGCTCCGTGGAAGCCGTTTGCAGCCCATGTCAATCAGCTGATTTCTGATGTATTGGAAAGAGCATACAGTAATGCGCTGGAACGAAACTCTTGGAGCTGGGCTCGAGTACTCGCTGAGCAAGAGAGCCTGAAAGCAGTTCCAAAGAGCTCACTGGCCCTTGTTGTTGGCGAGCTCTATGCGGCCGCCCATTTCTCGTCCTCCAACTTACTGGTTACATTGATACAATTGATACTCTACCACCCAGAAGAGGCCCAAAGGGCCCAGAAAGAGCTGGATAGCATGGTTGGAGCACAGCGGCTGCCCCGAATAGCCGATCTGGAGAACATGCCGTATGTCAGAGCTTTTGTCCGCGAAACCCTTCGATGGTTGCCGAGCTCCGGAGTCCCTCACGCCAGTACAGAGGATGATGAGTACATGGGGTACAGGATCCCACGGGGCTCCATGGTTGTCCCCCATTATTGGTTCGTGGATATGGATTCAAACGTATATATGGATCCTCTCAAATTTCGGCCCGAACGATTTCTCAATGACCCCAAGCTGCCGCTGAGAACCTTCGGTTTTGGCAGTCGCATCTGCACTGGCCAATACTTTGCCCAACATTCTTTCTCCATGGTCATCATGCGACTCCTATGGGCGTACCACATTCGATTTCCGGATTATGTCGATACGAAAGCGGAGCCGATTGGGCACCTTGACTCGCGAATCTTTACGCCGAACGAAAAACCCACCGAAGTCGTCTTCACGCCCCGCTCCCATGCTCACAGAAAGGTCATTGAACAGGCATATGCGAGTCTGGACAGCGTTGACGATGCTCTCAAATCCCTTCAGAGTATTGAAGTGAACACCCCGAAGAATTTCTAGACATGGTCATAAGGAAAAGATTTGGCTCGACCTAGCATAGAGTTATGAATGGGTTGGGCTGGGTTGAACTTTCTCAACCCGAAACCCACCCCAAAAGTCAAGTGAGGGATTTCGTTTAATCAATGCACGCAATATCAGCCGAAACGGGGTCCATGCCATCATCCAGCGTAGTGTTCCGTACCTGTTTGAACTTGTCAATCGTAAAATGACCCGGCTGAGTTCGGGAAACTGTCCAGTTGATTCCGGAAGGAAGTCGGCCGACATGAGCAAACAGATAGCAATGACTTTTCTTGCGCTGCTGTTCTGTTCTCTATATGGAGGTTTGAACTGTCATGCACTGCACTACTTATCTACTGAGGCCATATCTGGCGAAAGAATGCATAGATGTCAGTGGTCCCTGTCGGTGCCTCTGTAACTCGAAGACCAAGGATTGTAGGCAGGTGAGAGAAATTGCTTCATTGGGGAGTGTGTGAGAATGTCGAACTGAGAGAATCCATTGTATATAAGTCGTGGTTCTGAGTTGCTACTTGCATGCCCTGGTGGGAAGAAAGCTGATGTGGGGTTGACAGCCTGGTAGGAGTCATAGGACGATACATAATCGATCTTTCGTTAGTGGATAGTCATCCTGCCGTGGTCAGCGTACTCAAGGGTCATTGTACATGAGGAACAGATCACTGCACCAATGAATGTAGCGTCAAGTCCTCAACTCTTATGGACAAGGGTGTACGCTCTAGTTTGATACAAACAAAGAAGAGGGCATTTTGGACGTGTTGGAATGCTTTGCCATGGGATACAACATGTAACAGCTGATATTCCTTTTGGTCACGCACTCATATACTGAACAGACCATGTGTCTCCGACTTGATGGAGTGATTGGTATTCATATCCTACCTCATCTGTCTTTTGGTACTCCGAAAAGTCAAAGGCTGCCTCCTTTATGTTTGTGCCAGCCAACATGACTACTATAGTATATGATTGGTGATTTTCTTTCACCTGGCATATGCACATTGCTATTCATCATGGCTGCAACGGTCCATGGTTGGGCCTGCAGCAGCAAGCAGGTAACAAAGGAAAAGGGATGAATACCACTGCGACAATTGTCGCTCAAGATCATGAATCATCCCTCGGACAGTATCCCTACGACTGTACTAGCATAAAGTCTAGGATCGCTTCTTTCAGTGGGGTAGGAACGTAGGTAATGGGCTATAAAGAAAAATCATCTTCTGGCCCTTCTCATTGAGTCGCAGCTCGCTCTCGAGGACCTCGCACGATCTGAAAACAAAGGACCATACGGCCTGCAAAGCGCGGAGAGTTTTATTAAGTTTATCAAAGTAAGTGGTTTTCTCATCCGCGGTGTTTCTTTGTCGGTAGACTCGGTACGTCTGGAGAGCACAGGATTTCTTTGTTATCGAGTAGCAATAAGCCTCGACGGTAGAGGATCTTCTAATTTTACCACTCTTTCATATTTCCCAACGGTCTTGGATTGTACCATGGGTCAGGGATGTCGGGCGTGTCGGACAAGGGAATAACCTCGAGGATTGATTGAAGGAGCCGGTCCTTTACCCCAACTTGAAACAGAGATTCCCTGCTTCTTGTCGGGAAGATCATTATGCATTAACTGTCGATGCACGGGACTAACTTTCAAGTCTTCCTATATATACCGACATTTCTCGGCCAGGACATGTTGGTCTCAACATCGTGAACAACTGATTCATACGCGCAAGATGGCCGACCTCCGATTTGACCCCAACAACATGAACAATCTCCGCGAAGCGATACACCGGGGCTACATATGCCGGATCTCTCGCTTTCTTGATGCCCATGGAATCCCTAACGTGCTCTGGTCGGAGCTTGTGATGAATATGTTTCTCTTTCCCGTCGTGGCAGACGTAAGTCCCCCATTCCCCTGAGGCACCACCACTGCAGTTCGAGGAGCTGACCACCGGACACCAATAGGGCATTCGCGTCGTCATCCCCGATGAACATATCGAGAAAGCACGCGACCTCCTGCTAGCAGCCGGCTTCCCCCCCTGCCAGATGGGGAACTACTGCCCCTTGTACTGGGAGGCGTCTGGTCACGCCGTCCCCTACGCACACTTCAACCTCGTGGACCGCGGCCCCATAAACTACTACAAACCCGAGATATTCGGCGACAATCCCCGGGAATGGCACACGCTGGAACTCCTCAAGAAGTCCGAAGTGCTGTGGGGAGCGCCCGAAATCCCACTCGGGCCGCCTCCTCCAAATGATCCAGACTGGTGGACAGTCAACGATGAGCGTCTTCCAGAAGTCCCCATTGAATACCAGCTAGGCCGCATTGTTGAGGCGGATTATCCGGTCAAGATCCCCTCGCCGGCGCGCTTCGCCGAGTCGCTGACCCTCTTGTACATGCGGGACAATTTCCCGGAAATGACTTGCAGAGGGCAGTCCTGGGATTTTCTACAGCTGGACATGCTGGAAGTGCTGGAAAAGCACCGCCTCTTCGAACTGAAGGACCTTCCGCCTCGTACTCGAAGCTGGTTTACAATTCTGACGACCGATCACTTTGACGAATATGAGGATATCGCGGAGTCGTTCGCGGCGGAGATGAGGGAGACGGGCGAGGTGCCTGCAAGTAGTCCCTGGCCGTCGAAAGCTTTCTTGCCTCCTGGATGGCATGAAGAGCTTAAACAGTGGGAGGAGGAGAAAGAGCAGATGAGGAAGAAGAAGAAGGAGGAGGAGGAGGAGGAGGAGCAGATGCGGAAGAAAGAAGAAGAGGTGAAAGAGGAGCAGAATGCGTGATGGAATGATAGTTGGGCTTTGCAGCTGTTTTGTGTTTATCCGGTACTTGTCTACTTATCATTGTTAGTTGCCATGTTCTGAGCATACGTGTGTTTAACTTGCTTATCCGTTGAGTCAATCATGTTGTTATACCTTGTTGTTAGAAGAAGTTTCACCCTCAGTCAATAATGTCTTGTATCAAGATGGCCACAACGCCACCCTTATGTCCGCCATAACTAAGACAAAATGTATGCTCCGCAAGATGTTAACAAAGGATTAAGAAACAAAAAGGTCTCTGTACATTTGCTATGTCTCCAGATATATCCTCACCCTTGTTTCAAAGTTAACATCTGTTGCAAGGTGTAGTGGTTCTTGAACTAGACGATGGCCATAAATAACAGGGTCCATTCCCTTCTTCACAGGCTCAGTCACCATCAACTTGATTCAACCAAGCTCTGCGACTTCCTTTACAAGCTATATCCCAAAAACCACAGGACAACTCTCAACATGAACATGACCCATTTGTCTGGCAATGACCTCAGAGTCGCACTCAGAGCTGCAGCAAGGGCACTCATTTGGTCTCTACAGGCAATGCCAGAACTGCAGGAAGCTAGGATTGTGATTATCGGTGGCATGGCGGTCCAACATCATGTGGGAGCCTACCGGAAAACCTCGGTGAGTACACTGAAGAACCGGTCTCAACGGACGCTGACGAGGTCATTCATCCTGGTGCAGGATGTGGATGTTCTGCTTTTCAGCCATGACCATCCCATTGACACCCAACGGATCCGCAAGGAGCTGGTCTCCGGATTTTCATATCTCTTTATGGAGTGTGCTCAGCCGCTGTTCTTCAAGTACAGAGATACGCACTGTACGCACTTGGTGCAGGTGGACCTTATCCCCCAGCATCTGGTATGTTTGCGTGCCGCCGTCGGATAGATGAAGTCAAACTAACGTGATTGACGACAGCCACCATACCTGCCTGCGCATGCGATGGCGCTAAGGGAGATAGACTTGAACTATCTGCCGTTCATCGTCCCGTTGGACCTCATCGCGTACAAGGTCCACTGCTCGAGCATGCGTCCCTATTCGAGAAAACGAAAACAGGACGCCCGGGACGCGAGGATGCTCTGGGGAATGATATACAGTCTGAAGTCTGTTCCACTCAGCCAAGCTCAACGGCAGGCCATAATCTCAGGGCTGGATCTGATGGCAGGAAATTCCGGAATTTGGCGCTGGCTAAAGGGCAGGCTGAGACGATGGGTAAATATGTGAGAGAGGAACATTCGGTTCACATCCTGGCTTTTGGGGTGGGCTTAACTTAAAGATATAGTATAGAGCAGCTGATGAGGTCCTGCTGGTCAGAGACTGACATAAATAAATTATACTAGAGATGACGCATCTGCAGCTGTTTAGAAAGTGTTTTAATGCATGAGAGATCCAGAGACACAGACTGCTCGCTGGCAGCTGTGCATCACAGCATTTTCAGTCTATTCACTAATCACAATAGACACATGCTCCATAACAAGGGCTCACCGATCTAACCAGACGCTAGAAGTGCCTGGATCCTCGCTGAACCTCAATATTCACGTCTCCCTCTATCTATCCATGCGCCACCATGAACAGAATCCCAACCAAACACTGTCTTCTTCTCTTTTCTTCTTCCTCCACCTCATCTCCTTTCTCCATTCATTTCACCCTTTCAGCAGGGAAGAGAGGAACACCAGCTTCGTGTCGACGCGCAACCATGATGCCCACCGCATTGCCCTCGGGCTGCGGGTTTTGCTGCAAAAAGGATCATCTCCTACGATGCTCAGGATGTAAGGTGATGCTCTACTGCGGTCGTGAACACCAAGCCGTCAATCCGCCTGCAACCAAGTCGAGAGAGTGCGTCTTATCATGGAGCGAGAGGAGTCTGCCCTTCACAAGTTCCCCAGAACCCGTTTTACGCCCCCAGGAGATCTTTTCGTTACCAGCGTTGGCGTGTTTGGAGAAATCTTAGCTGCTCAGCCATACATGAAGACACGCCTGGTCCTGGCATATACAATGTCCCGGATTCGGACAGTCGAATCTCTCGAAGCCCAGCTGGACCACCATCTCGACTTACTGCGACTCTGCCGGGGCGATAGCATGAATGTGCGCGGCCGTGTGCCTGCGCTGATGCTTCGCCTCGATAAGGACCAGAAATGCTACGAGTTTTTAAAGTGGCACGCTGTGATTGCGTCTGAGGAAAATTGGGAGCCGACGCATTGGAACCTTTCGTACCTCAATATCAAGAAGGCGGATGCTTTCGAGTCTATCGAACTCTTTGTCGCCGGATTTCCCGACCTCTACCGGATCGTCGCCCTAACACTTTTGAAAATCAAGCTACTACTGCACTTGATGAGACTAGAAGAGACCGCTCTTGTCTTGAGCCCCAAACTGCCTCCAGAGCTTGTCGACTTGATTCAGTCGTTCGTGCCTCGCAGTCCGATTGTTGCCGGAAATCGCGAGTTGGTGTACGGAGCAACGCGCCAGCCTGCGATTGAGAAACTGGAGATAGAGATCGACGTGCTGTGCATGGCCACCAATCTGCGCAATGTGCACTTCTGGTCAAGCCTTCTGAACCCGGAGCGTAACTCAACTGTAAAGCCCAACCATCACCATTGGGGAACTGTGGAGGAGGCGCGTGCCATTATCATGTCTGTCTATGACGCTTGGGACGAGACTCCAGGGGCCATCGACTTTATCAGAAAGAAGTCGCAGGGCAGGGCTTGACATTGGCTACCTCTCCAGCGGATAAGGGCATTTCCAATCTCTCGGATAGGGAAGAGACACTTGAATGGGGATGTCATGTAGATTGAGATTCTGGAATTCATATCATCAGTTCCATGCGACAGTGCTGATACTAGAATGTATTGATCCACTTGCGGCTCAGATCTTCATTATGGGGTCTTATGCTAAACGTTCACTCACAGGCTCTTTGACTTGAACAGTATCAGAGAGCTGCGTAGGGAGAAAGGAAGTGCTCAGTGGCTCAATGCTACCATGGGTCGCCCGGATCATTGTGTTGTTTCGACAAAGCGCCCTGAGCCCTCTTCTTGCGACACTTGAGGTTTTTGGCAGACTATCTTCATTCATTTCTTAGTTGTGCTTCACTCTTTGTTTAACATGATTGAAAAAGAACATAATGCATTGTCTAATATCATTGCAAACTCTTTATGTCTCTGGTACCTGTTAACCATTGTAATGGCTTGCAAAGGCCTTGTAAGAAACTCCATGGTTGAGGCGTCACTCCTTGTCTCCAATGCCTTTGTTGGATAGAGAAACATCTCACTTCACTGTGAGTCTATCAGAGACTGTCTGATTAATGGCTTCCAAGAATAGTGAATACTGTCTCTCTTGTCTGGTTCACTTGATGCTCTTTGTTCCTCTCCTGGATTCAAATATCACGACAACACCCAGAGACTAAGGCATCATCAACACTGTCAACTACTAAGTTGAAATACACGCATCTCATCAATTAGTCCACCTTTGCACAACCTTCCCAATCAAACCATCCAGACGCAATGTACGGACTCCTTGCCTTTATCACATTACCCTGGGTAATCTCTCACCCTCGGCTGTTCATGGTAGCAGCAGCAGCAGCCACATACTTCTTGCAATCGACCGACCGGACCCTTCACGACGTACACGTGGAAATAGCCTCCCGGGTAGCTGGCATTCTACCTGAAGACCTTCGGAGAGATGATGTTCTCTCTGACCAAATGACCGTCGTTTTCCTTCACCTGTTCGTCTTCCGGTATTTCCGTCTCGTCATCCATCTCATCTCCTTCTGGCTCTTCTATCGCCCCACCCCTGTCCCCAGAAACCCTACCCTTTTCCCCTCTGATTGCACAATCATCCTCCCCACAGTTGATCCCGAGAACAGAGACTTCAAAGAGTGTATCACCTCATGCCTTCGGAACCAACCAGGCGCAATCATCATTGTTACTGTTGGAGATCAACTGACGCGATTGACCAAGGACATCATCGCCCCGTTGAAGCAACGATTCCCCAACACCGAAATCTCCGTCAAGACCGCCGACGAAGCGAACAAGCGCCGACAGGTCGCACACGGCCTTCGATACGTGAAGACCAAGATCACGGTCCTGCTCGATGACCACGTCTTCTGGCTCAACGAACGCTTCCTCCCGACCCTCCTCGCCCCATTCGAAGACCCGAAGGTGGGCATCGTCGGAACGAACAAACGGGTCCGTCGGACAGACACGGGGTTCAACATCAGATCGTTCTGGAATATGCTGGGTGCGCTGCATCTGGAACGACACAACTTTGAGATCCGTGCCACTAACGCAATCGACGGCGGTGTTTTCGTCGTGTCAGGCCGCACATCTGCGCATCGGTCCGAGATCCTCCAGGATCCCGCATTCATCGCCGGATTCACGAACGAGAGATTCTTCTTCGGTTTGTTTGGCCCCCTGAACGCTGACGATGATAACTTCATCACCCGCTGGGATGTCCGACACGGGTGGAAGGTCAAGATCCAGTACTGCCCCGACGCAATGATCGAGACCACGCTGGGTACGTATCCCAAGTTCCTCTCGCAGTGCTTGCGATGGGTCAGAACGACCTGGAGAAGTAACTCGGCCAGCTTGTTCACTGACCGAACGGTCTGGTGCACCCAGCCGTGGTGCGTGTACGCCGTCCACTGGACCTCCTTCGTCAACTTTGCCCTTTTCTACGACGGTGCGTTGGCGTATACCCTGCTCAAAAGCCCGCTCGGAACGGGAGACAACCTGAAATATCTCGCGGCGTGGATCTTCTGCACGAAGATGGTCAAGCTAACGCCGTACTTCCTCCGTGAGCCCCAGGATCTGGTCATGCTGCCGGGCTATTTTGTCTTTGCCTACTTCCACAGCCTGATCAAGCTGTATGCTGGGTTGACCTTCTGGGAGACTAACTGGGGAGGCAGGAACCTGTCTGCCATCAATAACCAACCTGGTGGCGGCGACGATGACGATGACGACGCCGACGATAGCAGCGACGATAGCGTCGACGGCGGCGTTCAGCTTCCTCCCACTCCGCCTCCATCACGCCGGCGTGGAAAGACATCAGGTAGTTCCAGCTCGAACAGCGGAGCGGATGACGGATCTAACGCGGGTAGGACGATCAATTGTGCTGGTACTGCTTCAGGATCTAATCGTGTACAGTCTAGGAATCGCATCACTTCGACCGCCAGTACCAAGACGCCGCGGAAAGTCCAGGCTCAACCTACGACTAGATTGTCGTCCTCGAGCACATCGAGCAGCACCTCTTCACGATGGCAGCGGTGTCCCGGTTGTCGAAAGTTACATTCCGATTCCGGTAGTATATGCCAGGTCAAGGATGTATGGGGTCGATAATGAGGGCTGACGGGAAGGCTGGTGAGTCCACTCTTACCCTAAAAATTGGGTCATCTGCTGTATTGCTGTTTTTTAGCCATGGAGTTTCAGGAAGTTGCCTAATAGATAAAACTTGACGTTTTCGCTCATTTCTTAACACGTAGTTAGCAATTGAGTGTAGCCCTTGCGATGGTGAACGTACATTCTCCAGCCCTGAATGATCTATAACGTGTCCAGCCAGTGGTTGACGAGGGTGTCACCTAAATATCAAGCCGAAAATGCTCGGGAGCCCCGATATAATTGACTCGATAGGTATAGGCTGTGCGGGAGAGAGCCCAGCTTAGTTCGCAGAAGTTGCAGGTTTGAAGAACTTAGATAGTACCAAGCTCGATGAGGATATTGCGCACCACCCAATGGGGTACGAGGAACGGATCCAAGTGATAAATAAGATCATCTCATTCTGGTTTTAGCCGGGACTGACCTGCAATGTCATCCTTTTGCCAGTTTTGCCACCAATCACGGCGGATGCACTGGTATAGCGTCAATGTTCTCCCCATGCTAAGACATGTGTCTGCGGGGAACCCTGTATTAATTTGGTGCACAACTTAGTCTGGGACAGCGCAATTTCGTCGTGAATCAAGCCAGAAGCCGGACAGACGGACCGGAAGCCGTATAATCTCGCGATGTGAGCGATTTCCTCGCGTCAATTTCCGGCGGAGTGACTGATCCATTATATTATAACACTGCGGTCTGCAGCGTTATAATGCAATTTCGGGAATCAAGGTATGATATGATCATCATGAAAGACTGGCTCCAACGCTTAGGGCTGATGGTGCTGTGCGCCGCCGCAGCTACTGCCAAACATGCGTACGAGTTCAAATCCGTTGCGATCACTGGAGGAGGCTACATCACTGGCATTGTAGGCCACCCGACTGAAAAGAACCTCCTATATGCCCGTACCGACATCGGTAGCACATATCGCTGGGAACAGGAGCTGAACAAATGGATCCCGCTCACCGATTTCATCGGCCCCGAGGACGAGAATCTGCTTGGGACGGAGAGCATAGCCACGGACCCGGCTGATCCAAACCGTTTATATCTGGCGCAGGGCCGGTATCTGAGTTCTAACAACTCGGCGTTTCTGGTGTCGAATGATCGGGGAGCGACTTTTACGCAGTATCCGGCGCCCTTTGCGATGGGGTCGAATGAGATGGGTCGGAATAACGGGGAGAGACTCGCGGTCAACCCGTTCAAGCCGAATGAGCTGTGGATGGGGACTCGCAACGCTGGGTTGATGAAGAGCAGTGATCGCGCGAAGACGTGGACGAATGTGACCAACTTCCCTGAAGCGGCGGCGAACGGGATTGGAATCACGTTTGTTATTTTCGACCCGCAGCGTGAAGGGACGATCTACGTGGGCGCTTGCGTTCCTGGTGGATTGTACTTTACGACCGACGCAGGAACGACGTGGGAGTCTATCCCAGGGCAGCCAATGCAATGGAACTCGTCTTTGCTGATCTACCCCAATGAGACGCAGCCGCAGAGCGCGGGACCCCAGCCGATGAAGGCAGCATTGGCATCTAATGGAGCATTGTACGTCACCTATGCGGATTCTCCCGGGCCATGGGGAGTGGCCTATGGCGCGGTGCATGTCTACAACACGAACACATCGGAGTGGGTGGACGTTACACCTACCGCCGAAAACACCTCTCCTGCCCCGTATACCCCCCAGGCATTCCCGGCGGGCGGATACTGCGGTCTAAGCGTCGCAGCCGACGACCCGAATACCGTCGTCGTGGTCTCACTCGACCGCGACCCGGGTCCAGCGCTGGATAGCATGTATCTCTCCCGCGACGGAGGCAAGACCTGGAAAGACGTCTCGCAGCTCTCCACGCCGTCCGGTAGCGGGGGATACTGGGGCCATCCCATCGCTGAAGCGGCACTCGCCAACGGAACAAGGGTCGACTGGTTGAGCTTCAACTGGGGCCCTCAGTGGGGCGGGTACGGCGCGCCATCCCCCGTCAAGGGACTGACCAAGTTCGGCTGGTGGATGACAGCCGTGCTCATTGACCCGAGCAACCCCAACCACGTAATGTACGGAAGTGGCGCAACGATCTGGGCGACAGATACCATTACCCAGGCGGATAAGGATTCCGCGCCGACATGGTACGTCCAGGCACAAGGAATCGAGGAAACCGTTACGCTGGCGATGATCAGCCCACGGGACGGAGCGCATCTCCTCAGCGGGGCGGGTGATATCAACGGGTTCCGGCATGACGATCTCGACACGCCGCAGTCGATGTTTGGCCTCCCTGTGTTTTCGAACCTGAATACCCTCGACTGGGCGGGGCAGCGGCCGGAGGTGATTGTGCGCGGTGGGCCATGCGGGCATCAGTATCCGGATGGATGTGGCCAGGCGGCTTATTCAACGGATGGAGGGAGCGGCTGGACCAAGTTCCAGACGTGCATTCCCGGTGTGAATACCAGCTCGACCAACCCAGGCGTTATGACTGTTGATGCCTCTGGAAAGTACGTGGTCTGGTCGTCTGCCATGTACATCGTCTCGCCAACTTTGCAGGCCGTCAGCTCTGCAGGGAACGATGCCGGGCCGTATGCCTCAAACGACTGGGGCAAGACCTGGACATCGCCTCGCGGGCTGACGGTGCAGACGGCAAACATTAGCGCGGATCGCGTACAGCCGAAGACATTCTACGCTTTCTCCAGCGGCGTTTGGTACGTCAGCACGGACGGTGGCCTCTCGTATGCTGCATCCAATGCCAGCGACGTAGGGCTCCCCGCGTACACCGGCGCCGTCCCCGTCGTGAGTGTTGACACTGCAGGCGAGATCTGGCTGGCCCTCGGTGGCGAGGGCGCCTACCATACGACAGACTTTGGACAACACTGGAAACGCATCACGCACAAGGGAACAGTTGCCGACTTGATCACCGTGGGTGCCGCAGCTGCTGGGTCCAAGACGCCGGCACTGTTCATTAGAGGCTCGCCTGGTCATCCGAAGAAAAGTGATTTCGGGATCTATCGGTCCGACGATAACGGATCCACATGGGAACGGGTCGATGATGATACACACCGTTATGGAGGGTTCAATCTCATCCAGGGAGACCCTCGAGTGTACGGACGGGTGTATCTGGGTACGGGCGGACGTGGCATTCTCTACGCGGATATTGTACCGCAGCGATCAGCCAAGGACGGGAATGTACCAGGAACTGGAGGTATTTGATTAGACATGCTAGATCAATGCTCTAAATGACATGACGCCCCATTCGGGTAGCAGACTGATATCTATCAGGTCAAGGAAAACATCCTGCTGTAGGTGAAAGCCTGACCAGGGCATAAGTCACACTAAGTACAGGCCTAGCTCCATAAAGTCTTGTCATCAAACACAAAGACAATGAAGAACACATTCCATACCCAACCCAGCATAATATCAGTCTCGAGCCATACGACACTTCACGCCTGTCCTTCAGGGGGGTTCAGGTAGCCCTAGCTCGGCTGGTGCGCCGGTGACATTGCCATACTCGTCCCTGGGTACGGTCCGAAGCTTCACTGACTGTGATAGTTCAGTGATGTCAGTCACGAGTCCGGCCATGGCATTAAAGCTTGGGTTGCCGGGGGGTCCGCAGTAGTTAGTGGTGCCACCGTAGAGAAGACCACAGACCCTTCCTCTGACAAGGTTCTCTCTCTCCTGGCTCTGTATAAGTTAGCATCTGTTTAGCAAATATCAGATCTATATACCCAGTACTTACTCTCTCTTCCTCAGACAGTGGTGTGACTGGGGTTCAGTGGATATCTATCACGTTCAGTTTGGGCCGCCTGGACCCCGGCGGATGTAGCCACCTCAGCCACCAGTCCACCAGTCCATAGACTAGGGTACTCCGTAGTCACTCAATCTCAATATTGCCCAGCTTCTCCAGGGTCTCGGCCTCCAGCAGCTCCTCCTCGGTTCGGTCCTCGAGGCTATCCATCAACTCGTCGTCGCCTTGGCCTTCCTGTGCCGGATCCCATCCGTCCATGGTGCGGCTCTAGGAGCTGGCAATACCCTTAAGACCCTGCTAAAGTTGGGACTAAAACCTAATTCTTGGTTGCCATCCAAGCCTGGCTCTGCTGATGGGATCGCACCATTTACGCAAAAGGCTGACCTGTTCTCTCTCCTGTAGAAATTAGCATCTGTTTAGCAAATATCAAGTCCAGATACCTGGGAACAGCTCTGCCATAGTGAATGATAGCATCAGAATAATCAACATAATCAGAACAGTAAGAACAGTCAGGACAGCCAAAAAGACTTGAATATTAGAAAGAATCAAACATCAAAAAGCATGAAGCATCCATCAGTCCATGATTTAGAACATTTTAACATACTTTGATATTCATTTATTCTTTAAAAGAAAAGAACAGGCAGGCCAAGATAGGACTGCATAAGCCCGGAGGCTGTTTCGTCCTTTTTCAATCGCGTAACGATGTTGTTTGACTCAGTTTGAGCCTCCTGGCGATATGAATCGAGTACCCAACGTAGAGTGCCAGGTATATTCTCAGCTATCAGGCCACAAACACCGCACTTGCGGCCTCCATGGCGTGATAGGTGCTGAGCAAGTGTCGTGACTGTCTTAGTTTCTGTCCCACAAAGAAGAATTTGTACTTACTTAGGAAAGAAAGCAGAGTGGTTGGAAAAGGATGCATAGGTTGGGCAATCACAGAAATGGCTGGAAGTATAATTGTGAAGAGTGAAGTCAATCACTACAAGGAGTATTCACAAGGTATGAATTACAAGGCATATAAAGTAGGATTATAAAGATCAATGGAGATAACTACAGGAGGTATTTACTATTAGCTATTCACAGGCTAGATTCTGCAGGGCCATGGCAGACTGCAAACTACACTGTTTTAGGAGTCGGACATCAAATATACTACAAAAGCATTACAGAGTACTAAGGTAGACTTACCATTCTCATTCACTGTTGCTCTGAAACTTCCATGTACTCTTCCTTTCCTTCTTCTCTTTATCTCTAGCTGAAGATCTTCTCCGGCTCACTTGTTGCTTGCTACTTCCCCTCATCTTACAATCTCCAGTGCAGTATATCATCTTTACTTCTTATGTTTGCTGCCATCAAACATATATTACACTACTATTTCTACTGCGCTAGCGATGGTCATCTAACACTTTGGTCAAGTGGTTTTCTGGTTGACAGGTGCCTCTCTCCAGTCAGAACCACCTTTTGTTTTCTGTTATTTATCTCGCCACATCCAGCTCAACCATCCTTCAGAACAGCTTTGAAAGATGTCCGGTCAGTCTGAGGAAAGTCAAGAAATGACCCTGGAGCAGTATCTGGACAGCCGCGATCCCTATCGCTCAACAAATTTGCCGGACCTGTGACCATATCCGTTGATGTTGACCGACTCTCCAGAGCTTCGGAGAACTACTATTCTTCCGATTCATAACGATATACGCGCTATCCTCAGGATACATGGGTTTCCTGAGCATGTGGAATTCGTGCCGTATGTGGATGGCGTTACTTCGACTGCCATCACCAGGATATACTCGACTATGAAAAAGCTCGAGCAAGATGCCCATAGCGTTCCGAGAGGCGACATCGCAGTGAATCTGCTCCGTGTCATCCTACAGGCTGTGGATAATCACCCAAGACGCCTCAGGCCAGCAAGAGATGACATTGCCAACCTTCTCAACGCGAAGGGCATTACAAATATGTTCGTCAAGGAGGTCATGGACGCGAAGATAGCAATGGTTTGGGAAACGGTCGGCACAGTGAAAGGATTCATTGAGCATCGGGCGAGCAACAAGAGTCTCTGGGCGGAGGTTGAGGAGGTGGCCAAGACCGCGGCAAAGACTGCTGCGCGAACGAAGGGAGCCTGGGTGATAGTGGAGAACCAATGGGGCGCAGAGGTCACCAAGCATCTAACTCATGTCCACACTGGACACCACTATGCAAGAAATGTGGCCTCACTGGCGCAGAACATGCAGTGGGACACGGCAGTCTGCAGGGCCAACCGGTATGCTTATAAGCGCATCACACATATCAAGAGAGGTTCGCGGGGGGGTTCGCACCATCCCAAAGGACTTCGGCTGTGCTGTGAAGAAACCGCCCAAGGAATCCAAGCTTACAGATGACGAGCTTAGGAAGATCAAAGGGAAGCTGGACGCGTTCGGTCTTCTTGTCCCTGAAGATGATGATGATTCTCCCAAGCTGCAGGAACCAACTGGGCTGGCTTGATGAGATTGAACATTGATCTGTGCTTCTGCGTCCCTATTTCTCTGTCCCTTCAACATTGGCCGCGTCGAGCCCAAGGCCCGCCCGGCTGTCGTAATCCTCGTGGTTCCAACCACGCGTGCCAATTGGGTTGGTTTGGCCACGGAGATAAAATCATTACTTGCAAGACCGTGTCAGTTTCAGACGGTTGAGGTGGAGTTTCTCCCTGGAAATATGGGCGAGCAAGGAGACCAGCGCATGGGGGGACTTGAGGGGATCCACCCTGATGAGGAGTGGGCCGACGAACTTGAGGCCATGATAGACCAGTCTTTGCGGGATGGGGTTGAGAATGTCAACATCCAGCGAGGGTATGTCGAGATTATCCATCTGTACTTAAAACTATGTTTTCTGTTGAGATTCTACACCACTAGACTAAGGAGTACATCATCCGGACACCTTTTCAGTCTAGCGGTATAGTATCGTTGACATTTTCTAGTCTGTGACAATGCCATTAACTTGTCAGAGTGATTGATAATAACAGGATCCTAATTAGTGTATAGAGCTAGTATAGTGATAGCAAAACTCAACAGCGAGGAGCTGTTGAAGGATGCCATCGCGCTCGAGCCCATTTACTATCCCTATACACTAGAATAGGTGTAGTGAAAGATCGTATTCCTCACTCATAGATCAATCCCTCATATATATGGAAGAAGTGGTCGTCAATGGTACATCTGCCCCCTGTGCTGGCCAGACATCACAACCCATAACGGATTCATCCCACCCTGGTCGTCACATTGACCAAACTGACACATAACTTTCGCCTGACGTCCTTAGCCCTTACACCACCCCACAACCTATTCCACATGAGTTGCCAACTCGACATTCCTTCTTCCATATCTTCCATTGCTCAACGCCTAGCAGTAGTCGCGGACACAAGCAGCGTACTTGGCGCTGTAGCAGGCAGTATAGCAGCTAGGGCTTGAAGCGCAAGACTTGGAGCAGGAGCTCGACGCCAGGGAGGCACAGTTGCTCTGGCAGGAACCTGGACAAGTGGTGTCAGCTTTCCGGTACGGACATGCAGTCGACATGGCAGTCTTGACTGAGGTTGGGGCTGCTTACGTTCGACAAGTTCCGGTTCAGCGACAGGAGAAGCCGCAACAACGGCCGTAAGAGCGAGAGTAATCAGAGCGGTGATCTTCATTTTGGCGAGAGATTGAATTTGGGTTCCTGAAGAGCAAGTGTTCTTCTGCTGGATGCAATTGCGTAGACCTTGGAATGTCGATGGTGAAGATGTCTCTCCTGCTGGCTATTGTGCTCCTTTTATATCTTTGGGAGAGGCTCCTCCACTCCCAGGATAGTTATAGATGCTCGATCCTGACGGCAATACGGGCCGATGATAGTACCTACCCCCACTGAGGAGTCGCTATGCGTGGTGAACAGATAAGCTCCTCAGACGAGCGAACACGAGATATCTACTTATCCCCGGCTTGCGATCTTGACTCCTCAAAGGAGTCTCGTATCCAGAAGCAGAACGAGATACGCCAAGAACGCTCTATGCCAAATCTAATACGGAAAGTGGTGTATGCTCGTATTCATTGAGACATGATGACCTGCGCATACACGCCATTAAGTGCGTGGAGAGCTCTTTTGCGGGGAGGCACAATCTGTTAACCAAATATTAGGCTCGGTTAATGGAAGCTGGAAACCATAGCAAAAGTGGTTGGTCTGCATAACCTAGGTTAGTACGCAGAGATGCTCATTTTTTTTTGGTACGCCCAAAGGACTTTCAACCAAAGGAAGAACTAGCGGGTAGAAGTTGTGCCTATAAGGTCGGATAATGTCGCAACGAAGACTTTGGGTATACTCGCCTGACGTTCGATGTCTATAGTGGACTTGAGCTCGTTGGGGTTGGCTTTGGGGTAAAAGGAATACTCAACCTTATTGAGATGCAGTTTCCCATGATGGAGACTGTGAGTGCTAATAGTAGAAGGTAATCATACTACTGGAAGGCAGCGATGTGCGCATTATGCCTTCAGGCAATACCAGCGAAGCAATATGGATAAATAGCCTCCGAGTTTCCCTCGCTGGATGGCTTCTCTTCCATCCTGCGGATCCGATAATATTGACCCAGAATTAGAACCTAGAAAGATGTAAGACCAGGCCTCGTGGCCCAAGTATCCTTTCCCAGAGCACATAGTAACGAAGTAGTGTTTCTTATGCGCCGTGAGGTGGTTGATGAGATGGATAAAATCATAACGACAGACTACAATAGCATATTCATTGTCATACTAGATATAAACCGTAGGTGATCCTCGGCAGCTATCAGCATCCTCTCTGAATGGCGATTATGAGGGTATCCTCAACAAGGGTGAGTAGGGCTTCTCTAACCCCTCCTGGTAACTAATGAGGCTGAGGAGATGCATGTTAGGAGAGAGTTAAGGATATTTAGCTGTCGTGGCTACTTCTATTTAGTAATAGGCTCCTCAGGGCGCCCTAGGGCAATCTTATATAGAAAGTCTACTTCTCATAGTACAAGATTTTGGCTAACATTTGATTTAGATGTCTTACACAGCTAAGGGATAAGCTCATCATTCTATCAGGTCTGGCCAAGGAATTCCAGAAACTCAACTCAGACATCTATGTCCCCGGACTATGGGGGAAAGGTATTCTCCACGGCCTATGCTTGTCAAGTGACTCCCTCCGATAATCAACGATACAATCTTTCAGAGTTGTATATCGCGCCGTTTTGGTCCTGGGCTTCTCTAAATAGTAAGGTCCGGTACAGAGGAACCATATTTAGCAGAGACCAACAACTTCTGTCTTCCTATGATACTCCAGTGCTATCGATTCCCGAGATACCTAACATCAACATACTCCTTGAGGGACCAGATACGTTTGGCCAACTAGCCGGCGGGTCCATAGATCTACGAGGCAAGATCAAGCAACTCGACACCCAACCACGTGCTTTCTGAACCTTTCCAAGAAAGGTCCGTCGTGTATGTGTCCTCTAATGATGCCTTCGATGCGATCAAATGTACTCGGGTAAACTGCTTGTGTATGTTTGACTAGGGACATTCAATGGAAGGTATTGGCGTGAATCTTGCACTGGTCAGATCCCATGAGACAGGAGATGAAATATCATCGAGTAGGCTACATACAAAGCGGTATGACGACTATAGTCTATCCAAAAGCACCATCATGAGAAATATCACTAGGATTGGCTATCGTCAACCCTATTGCTATTCTACTCGGTCCACAAAGCAGGACTTGTGTTTGTAGAGAGACATATGCAGGTTGGGCCATTTTTTCCGTCAAAAGGCAAACACATGTCTTTAATTCTACCCTTCTCAACATGTATTTCGAAGATTCGATTATTCACACTACGCATGGGTCGGTCGATGTCCTCAGGGACCAATCAGCTATAGCTCTAATGGCAAAGAGGGAAAGCATGAGCGAGGTTCTTGGCTCCCGGCTTGTTCGGCACGTATCAATCCCTCAAATTGCCTTAAATCGACCCCTAGCTGAAGACGTGAAAGGTTCTGATAGAGTTCCCAAAGTCAAGGATGTATCGCCGGACATCTTCGCCGTCTACATGAACAGGCAATCCCAGTCACGGCAAGTCCTATCCTTGACAGTCGCACATGGCATTGTTTGACCATAGTGCTCGAAATTCGGTAATAGTTGCCTTGTGAGGTACTCGCAGTGATTCTAGACATTTCCTTGCCTCGCAAGAAGCATCTGGCAACCTGCTTCAATGGAATTCCAGACATGCATGGCAAAATCCTCAATGCGACTTCTTTTCTCCCCAACCAAGTTGGGCGCGTTGTATCCGGCAGTTCCGAGTACCTGACCCCATAATGGTTCAACGTACATGTTGGGCCCGGTGATGGCTACGATTCGTCACGGCTCCGAGATAAGCTTGTCTAATGAGTCCAGAGGGCAAGCAGGAGGTGACACGGCGTAATGTGCATGCTTCACAAGCTCTCAAAAGCGGTATTTGTTCGTCAAGGAAGGCGCACTGTACATCTCGTATTCAAAATAACTCTCTGGCAGGAAAAAGCATATTCGTGCGTGCCAGGAATTTCCATGTCATGATAAGTGTGGCATGCAGTGTACTATCCCGGATGAATATCTCTGAACCGTTGGTTCAGACCATGTGTGATGCGCAATGAATAATATCAGGCGCAAATAAGAAGCTTGGTCAATGCGGTTCTGGATGAATCTAGGCCATGAGTCTGCGCATTATCAGGCAAGATCCCTGCATATCTTACGTCCCAGTTGCGGCATGCACACACTGTATGCCCCGAGTATGACAGGGGCATTCGCAGGGGAATAATAGGTCATGATTGGATTTGCTGTTCGCAACTGAGCCTTAGTATGCATAAACTGATTAGCGTGGTCATGCAAGTAGCCAGAATTGATATACTCTGTATACCAATCATTACCTTAAGCATTGTCATCTATACCGGTTCTTCCCAATTCAGAATCGCGGGATATCCGTAGCGGTAACTATTCATGCAAGATGAGGTTTCGACCAAATTTAGGGGTCCGTGCTCGTTGACGTTACAAGACAGCCTGACAAACGCCCCTGCACCATGCAAGCCGAGGAGTCCGTGGTGGACTCCCTGTCGACCAGTAAAGACTTTCTCGGAGGATTTCCGTCTAGCCCAAATACCATCGATGATATGCGGACCAAAGAGCGACATTCCCATCTCGACCGGCGAATTTGCAACAGAAGCACGAGGCGCTTGGAACACGTCAAGTTATTATAGACCCGAGATACCTGATAGGGCTGACCAGCACACTAGCACCCTACGTTTTGCTCTTCCAGCCTGCAGGTCTCCGGTGGCGCGAGCCCAGTTTGTCGGAATGCGTCCGAGAAAGAAGCCAGGGCCTGAATAATGAGCCCATAGCGTCAGCTGAACACCAGGGGCTGTTGACGAGGAAAAACCACTCAGGCCATGTGAGGAGTTGCACTTCAGACGCGAAGTGATGACCTTGAATGATCCATCCGCATTGTAAAGCCGCCCACATGCCTTGGACCTGGCTTGGCCTGATTTCCTTAACGCATCGTAAGATAGATACGAAATTGAAAGTCTGGATTTGTCTCTTACTGCATCTTACTGGATAGTCAAAGGGCCGACATGATATTACCTTTGCGCTTGCCAGGTACACCGCCGGACCGTATGTGACATGGATCCGTGGGTGTGCAATATGTTGTCTTATTCAAGCTTTATCATGGAATCCAATCCAATCAGCAGGACAGATTGGCACGCAGCACTTTTGTATGAACCCGCACCCGGTCCCAATGTAATGTATGGAGGACTGGCAAGTTTGACCGGCCTTCCTTGCTATCCACTTGCAGTTACCAATAGCCCTGATGATGCAAGGACAGGAAGGGGGAGCGTGGTGGATTGTATTCATCCAGTGGAAGATAACAATTAGTAGCTTGAACGAAGAATAGACGAATCAAATCGCTGTGATAGTTCGAGTTCGAAGTTAGGGTCCTCGATTCGAATGACTCGGCTTGCTTTCTGGGCAAAGACTAACAGGTCCATTCATCATGGCGATTCTCTAATCAGAATACCCTTTTATGAATGGCCTTCTGACGATGGTCAACCATCTACCCAGCAAATGCTTGATAGATGATAGCGTACAATCGACCTTGGAAAGCGCTGTGACGAACAGGATACCGCTTCTCACTTGAGCGAAGAGTACTCGTTCCCCATGGCTTCAGCATATCCATCCGCCGTTGTTTGCGGCTCGCAGACCCCTCCGCCCTCCAGAGACTTCCTACAGCGCATTCAATCAAATGTCAAAGACCCAAAGTTGAAAGAGCTTGCCAAGGCAGTTGATGACCTGCCACGATTCTGGTCACATTTGGTCGAGGTCAAGCCCGTCTTGAGCCAAGTCGACGACGAGCCCCTGAAAAAGCTGAAAGATTGGGCCACTGCGGATGAGTGTCTTTTGGAAATACCAGAAGGCTTGCCAAACATTCTAATGGCACCGCTCACGGTCATTATCCACCTGGTTCAATATCTCCGATTTGTGCTCTCCTTGGATGCCGATGATTCCCAAGAAGACAGACATCAACGTATTCTGCATTCGATTTGCAAAGGGGGATTCCAAGGACTTTGTACAGGCTTCCTCAGTGCTGCCGCTCTGGCATGCTCCGGGTCGGAAAGAGACATATGGTGCAACGCTACTGTCGCATTGAGATTAGCCACGTGCGTTGGCGCCTACGTTGACCTGGACAGGTTGATGCATGGGAGTACAGGAAGCTACACCTGTGTCATCATACATTGGGAAGATAGCAGTGGAAAGGATCGAGTAACAGATGTTCTGAAACAGCATCCTGGGGTGCGTACCGAAACATGATGCGGGAGTCCGATGTCAGCGCGTGAAGCTAACAGCATCAAATAGGTGTACACATCTGTCGAGCTTGACGATAGAAGCATCACCGTCACAGCCAGACTCTCCGAGGTCTCGTCGCTGCGGGCCGACCTGGAAGCACAAAACGCTAAGGTGACAAAAATTCCCGTCAACGGACGATATCATAGCAAGACGCATGCCGGAATTCTCCAAGACCTCCTTGAACTCTGCGAGACTGAAGGGTCCCTTCGCTTCCCCATTATTGACACACCATTGGTCCCCTTGAGAAATAACACCACCGGGGGTTTGATCACATCAGCGGAGAAGCTGCATGAGCTTGCCTTGAAATGCGTGTTGACGGAGCCAGCTGACTGGCTCTCGACCATGACAGAGACTGTTTCCAGTTTTATATCACAGTCCGAGAAAGCTGAGCGGCCGCTCATATTGGAGTTGGGCCTTGTGAGCTGTCTCCCCCGATCACTTACAGCATCCGCAAGCCTTCAAGTTTTCTCGCCGCCGTTGACCTCGACCGTTTCGCCGAAAGAAGAAAAGTCATCGATGACTGAGGAAGGTCATTATCACTACCCTGAGCACTCTATTGCCGTCATTGGAGCTGCTTGCAAATTCGCTGGTGCAGAAGCTATGCACCAGTTTTGGGACCTCATTCAATCAGGAGGCACAAAGATTGGGGACCTTCCCGAAGGCAGAATTGCGATATCCAACTCGTGGCGCAAGGTGCCACAGGAAAGACCTCTAAGGGGCAACTTCCTTTCCAATGCAGACCACTTTGACCACGGACTCTTCGGAGTATCTCCACGGGAAGCTACATACATGGATCCGCAACAGCGGATTGCGTTACATGTGGCGTACCAAGCTGTTGAGTCATCTGAATACTTTGGGAATAGTGCTAGAGACAAGAATATCGGCTGCTACGTTGGCGTCGGAGGTTCCGATTATGACCATAACGTCGGCTCTCATGCTCCGACGGCGTTTTCATTCACAGGCACTGCTCGAGCCTTTGTGAGCGGTCGAATAAGCCACTACTTTGGCTGGACGGGGCCGTCGATGACCATTGATACTGCGTGTTCCTCTTCAGCTGTGGCTATCCATCAGGCATGTAAGGACATCAGAATGGGCGAATGCAGCATGGCTCTGGCAGGAGGAGTCAACATAATTTCCTGTCCGAATATGCAACAGAACTTGGCGGCGGCCAGGTTTCTGAGTCCGACTGGTCCTTGCCGCCCATTCGATGCTTCTGCTGATGGCTATTGCCGTGGAGAAGGATGTGGCTTTGTCATGTTGAAGAAGCTATCATGTGCTGTGGCCGACAATGATGATATTCTAGGCGTGATTGTCGGATCGGCAGTGAATCATTGCGATGGCAACGAAGCAATCACGGTCCCAACATCACACTCGCAGGTCAACCTCTATCGCAAGGCTCTGTCGCTGGCAGCCATGCAACCCAAGGACATCACCTACGTTGAGGCTCACGGCACTGGTACTCCGCGGGGAGACCCAGTCGAATGCAGAAGTATTCGGCAAGTGTTTGGGGGTTCCACGTTGCATTTTGGCTCTGTCAAAGCCAACATAGGGCATGCAGAGGCAGCGTCAGGAATTGCAGGGCTCCTCAAAGTGCTGTTGATGATTCGAAATCAACGAATACCACCACAGGCCAATTTCACCACCTTGAATGCATCGATTCCGCCACTCGAATCGGACAACATGTCGATCCCAACCAATGACCTCGAATGGAAGGCCACTTTCCGTGTCGCTTGCATCAACAATTATGGGGCAGCGGGCAACAACGCCGCAGTGATTGTTTGCCAGCCGCCCACAAAGAGACCGCGACCAGAGTCTAGTGCTGGCAATAATGACCGACCACAGTTGTCTCGATATCCATTCTTGATATCTGGGCAATCGGAAAGGAGTCTGAAGATGTACTGCACTGCGCTCAGTCGGTGGTTAGAAAATACCCACGCCCCATTGTCACATATCGCGTTCAATGTGGCTCGAAGGCAGAATCGGACTCTTCGTCATCGCATCATCTTCGATGCAAGTTCGCGAAGTGACTTAAACAGCATTCTTGGAGAGAAATCGAGGCCGCATGAGCAACTATCGTCGCCTTCACCTAAGCCCAAGCCAGTTGTTCTGGTCTTTGCAGGCCAAACCGGGAACATTGTTTACCTGCATAAAGCTGCGTATGAAGGTTCAAGTCTGTTGCGATCACACATTGATCAGTGCGATGGGATTCTCCGCAAATTGGGCTACAGTGGCCTGATCCCATTCTTATTTGGCCAACAGCCGATAGAGGACGTAGTGCTCCTTCATTGCCTGTTCTTCTCGCTGCAGTACGCATGCGCCGCGGCTTGGATTGATGCGGGCTTGCCCGTCAAGCGTGTGATAGGCCATAGTATTGGTCAGTTCACTGCAATGTGTATCTCAGGAGTTACGACGCTTACCGATACACTGAAGCTGGTTGCGGGGCGGGCCAGATTAATCCAGCAAAAATGGGGCAAACAAAGGGGCTGTATGCTTGCCGTTGAGGTAGGCAGGCAGGGAGCTCTCGAGCTCGTCCGCTCAGTCCAAGATCATAGGATCGAGATTGCATGCTTCAATGGAGCCAGGAACCACGTCCTAGTTGGTACTGAAGGGGCCATCCAGACAATTGAGGCCAAGACATCATTGAAGACCCGAAAGTTAAAGACTACCCACGGCTTTCACTCTGAACTAGTTGACTCTTTGCTGGATGACTATATGGTTCTAGCACGGAGTATCACTTATGCCACGCCGAATATTCCGGTCGAAACATGTTCAATGGGTGCTAGCTGGAAGGAGTTCACTCCGGAGATGGTTGTTCGTCATTCGCGCGAAGCAGTATATTTCTTCGATGCTATTTCTCGAGTTGATGAAGAGCTAGGACCTTGTACGTGGGTCGAAGGAGGCGCCGGATCCAGAGGTATAGCACTTGTGAAGTGTGCCCTGGGGACCAAAAGCAGCTCAGGGCATTCTTTTCATCGTCTACAACTGGATTCGCGCGAACCTCTCGCATCATTAGCAGAAACAACCTTGCAGATGTGGAATGAAGGCCTTGATGTGCAGTTCTGGCTCTATCATACCATAGAGAAGACAACATTTGACTCTTATGACGTTCCTGGTTACCAATTTGAAGAGACGGCATACTGGCTTTCATGTTCTGACCAAGCACGCCAAAGCGACTCTGAGCGGGAGAAGATCATTTCTGACCAAGAGAAGCCACTAGTCTCTTTGCTGCGTTACGAGGACTCCAGACGCGAACAACGGGAATGGCATTTCGAAATCAATCATTCTCATCCGGACTTTAGCAGATACTTGAACGGACGTGAGGTCCTTGGGGAGGCTTTGTGTCCTGTGTCGGTGTTTGTCGAGCTGGCCACTCAAGCTGTGGCTATTTGCGGTGGCCACGAATGCTCGATGGCGTCTACTCGTGTACAGGTTCTGGATCTGGAAATCCATAACCCGCTTGGGCGCGCTCCTGGAGTTCGCGTTGGCCTCAGGCTCAAACATGTCGGATCATGCAAGAGGGGATTCTCGATAATCAGTGAAAAGGACGCCCAGAGCATATGCCACGCGACAGGAACGATTTCACTTCAGCAGGAGCGACATGGCAAATCCAAAATGGGGTCCCAGTGGTCGGCGATCCAGAGGGTAATCGGATACAGTCATATCCAGAATATCCTGAATGACCCTTCGGCGATTTCCATGAAAGGAAGCTTAATATATAAAATACTCGAGAAAGTGGCCGAATACGAGCCTTGCTATAGGGGCATCAAAGCCATGACCATAAAAGACACCGCGGCAGTCGCCCAGCTGGAAATGCCGGTGATAGATCGCAACAACTCGGAAATAGCAGTCTGCAACCTGATGGACCAGTTCGCATTGATCGCAGAAGTACAGGCGCTGTGCAGGGATGATTGCAAGAGAGATGATGTATTCATCTGCTCCGGCGTAAGTGAATTGGCCACATTCAAGTGTCTTCAATCAGAGACGGGACCATGGACTGTTTATACTCGACAAACACGCCGCGGGTCCAGGGAGCTCGTGTGCGACACATTCGTATTTGACTCAACTAATAAAACTTTGATCGCCGCCATTCTCGGAGCGAGGTTCATTCGGATTACGATCAGTTCTCTCCAGGGAATTGTCAAGAGAGCCGGTCTCAACAGTCCGACTTCGGAACCCTCGGTCAAGAAGGCAGAAGAGCTATATCAACCAGCCATTGAATCATGCCGCCCTTCACATGACAGTGATGTCTCGAATACCCTCCCTATACTGAGTCGGCTGCTTCACGAGATAACTGGAATTCCTCCAAGCGAGGTTTCCGCCAGCACACTCCTTGTAGAAGCTGGTGTCGATTCCCTCGCCGCGACTGAGTTGGAAAATCGGGTTCAAGAAGTGTTCAATCTTCACAGACCGGTCTCTCTCTACGAAAGACAATTTGACGTTGGGACGCTTTGTCGAGAAATTCAGACGCAGCGAGACGACCGGCTTGCTCGAGCTTCGCGAACGACGACTGCCACCCGGAATACTTCATCCTCTCTCGGCCGACGTACATCATCCACTGAATCACTGTCTGACGATGCGGAGGCACGACCTTTTAGAGAGAGCGATGCTGTGCTTGCCCAACTATCAAGGATGTTGTCACAGAGCTTCAATATCACAGAGAGCATACTCCCTGAAACCGAGCTTCGGAGTCTAGGTTTGGACTCTTTGGTCGCCGTCGAGCTCGAGTCTGATCTGGAGGAAGCATTTGGCTTAAAGGTTGATTTGATGCGACTGAGTCCTGAGCTTACGATGGGCGAACTCGCGCGTCTTATTTTGGCGTCCAAGCCTCAAACGTCTCGCCACATGGCACCTTCCATTGTGGATTCTGGACAAATGACGGAACCAGAGAGTCAGACGTATTTCGGTTGACAACTGCGTTGAAACTCTGGACGATAGTGTAGATTTGGGCGTGTTTTTGTGATGGACATTTCCTTTTGCTCTTGTCGAGAGTGTGGTGGATGCTTGGAATGAAGTGCCACAGAAGGTGCGAGCCCTAAGTTTGAGCCCTAATACCGGATTATCTCCGGACCGAACGGCCAATCATTTGCGATTAACGTTGTCCTCTACCTGCCTGGATATCTTAATGATCTCTCTGTGAAGTTCCTAATAATACTTTAATGGCGTTTATTCAATCATTTATTTATATGTTTGCACTCCACTGTTTCCTATAATGATTACTACCGATAGTGATAATCCTGTTGCTCGACTAGAGGTCGTTGTGGCATTGCTCTAAAGCTCTCCGCCAAACACATATTTTACTACAAGGCTTCCGCCAACAGTCATCGCAATGGCTGTCGGTGTACCAACAAGCTCTGGAATATTGAGGAGGAACAAGCTCTTTCCTCTTGACGCCTCCATAGGATACAACCAGACTGGAGTCGTGAGACTAAGCCAGCTGCACACCCAGATGAACCCCACAAGCTTATGCCAGCACGGCACAGAACGTCCATCAATGGCGACGGAGGAAACCCTCCCAGGAGGACGACTGTCAGTGAGTCGAGACCAAGCCGCCTGAACCGCATCTTCAATCATAATACCTAATGGCATGGAGCAGAAAAAGAAAAGGGAAGTCGACTGGCTCAAGGGGATGCCCATGAACAGGTCAGACATGACATGCATCACGCCTGAAAGGAGAAACACAAAGAAGATGTTAGTATATCGTTCGAGCAACGACGGCCGAGGGAGAGCAAGAAGATCCCGTGCCAAGTAGTTGCTTGTCGCGGTGAGCGGCCATCGGAACATCTGGTGCCAATATGTACTGAAAACGATAGGCCCGTTAGCAGATTCCAATGTCATCTGTATGGTGGCCACTCACCCCCAGAAATTGCGGATAGTGTATGCCTCTTTTGCGCGACCAAACAGTGGTGGCCAGTCCTCCGGAGAGTCCAGTCCTATGCCAACACACAAAAGAGACGCGGTACGATAGTCAATATCCACCGCTGCCCGCAAAAAGGTAAACCAGAACATTAGTGAGGTCATGATTCGCGTCCACCATTCCTCCTTGGAAACATGGAGGTAGCCTAGGTCATAAACAGGCTTTGAGAGTCGTGATGAGTCTCCAGCAGCTAGATAGCTTGTGCAATTTAGGAATAAGTACAGCCAGGCTATGATAGCAGCCTGTCTCGTCAAGAATGCACTGCGAGAGACTGACGCTTTCGGTTGTCGCGCGAGGTATGCTGGGTGCGATGGAATCTTTTTCGCCTGCCATGGTGTACGCACGCCCCGCAAATGCATAAATAGACGGGCAACTTTGAAGGTATTGAACAGGAAATGATCTCTTGGTTCAATAACCTTTGTATGAAGCAGCTCGTTCTTGTCCAGTGCGTTGATCAGGACGAGGTTGAAGCCCTGGATGATCACCATAAAAAGCTGGACTCCCACCTTGGTGGTGTATGTGGCACTCTCATCATGCGATATCGGGATGTGAAGCCATCGAGAGAAAATAAAGACTGACCAAAAAATCCACAAGTACCTGAGAAATGAGTTTTTCTTGGTGGTCAGGACCACGATGGCAGGGACCAAATTCTGAGCGAGAAGGAAAGGAAAGGCATACAAAAGGGTTTCGAAGACCCTGCGCTCGCTTCCAGACATTCCTTTGACTGGATCCAAGAAGTTGCTGCACAGGTACAACTCACAGGAAGATAAAATGACGTCTGGTTTTTTAAGATACGTGTCCTAGGGTCGATTTTTCGTCAATCGGATCCTAAGTAACTGATGGTGAAGGACCTCAAACACGAAGAAGGATTATCTAATTCGGAGATATATGCTTTCTTTTCTTTACCCTTGGAGGGCCAAGTATTTCTTGAAACTTTCATTATCAACTATAGTTCGCTCATGAGGATCCGGAAGTGCCGAACCGGGTCGTACGGAGCTGAGAATATCAAATAGGCCAGGAAATCGACTGGTAATGAACCCATGTAAGGTCAAATGAAAAGAATGTTTTCAATGTGGTGCTCGTCCTCGCCATAATTGCAACAAGCTAACGCATGCAGACGCCCCCTTTGCGATTCGAAGCTCCATGCATCGGGATATCATATCAATTTATATAGAGAAATCCTGTGCATAGACGGAATTTAGTCAACTAACTTGACACAACAGAACAAGTTATAATTCAGTGCACTGACCGCAACTGGAGTTTCACCAACGGAATATTGTTTGGCTTTGATCAAGCATCACTCCATAATGCTCGTTGCTCTGATCTACGACATCCTCAGCACTCGGCTGTTGTGGATGTCTGTAGCCGTCTATTGTCTTACCAGACTGCTTTTGGTGCTTCTGGAATGCGATGAATCGACAGATATACCCTTTCACAACGACAATGTCACAAAACACCCAGAAGAACTGATGAGATCAGGCTTCACCAAGGCGAGATCCACCACGTGTCGTTGAGTACTCAGGACTAACTGACTGATTGAGTTTCAGTTTCAGTCCAAGGATGCCTCCAGACTCGTCACTGACGTCGGTGCAAGGTGCATTCGGTCCTCCGAATGTGCAGAAGAATCCACAGCCCTTGACAAGCTCGGTATGGCGGAGAATTTTGTTGAGACCTTTCATTAACATCGTGCTTGGTTCAAGGAGTTTCAGAATACTCCTTCGGCAATCACCCATTGAATCAACTGGGAAGAAGGGACTTGAACTCGTGTCCCTCAGAATGCGAGGAGTATGATCTAGTTATTGTTCAGCTATTGATGTCGGTTGCTGCAATCTACACTATCAAGTAATTACTGACTCAGGTCCTGTACGATATCTGCGGATGAGGATTCTCCACCGTCCAACTGGAGGACGATCTAAGCATGACGGTCCTCAACCATATGGAGCTCTTGGATAGAGTCGTTCAGGAGGGCCAGCAACCCAAACCCATCGCGATGCGCAATCCATAGATCCCTCATACCGTTCTCACCTTTATAGCCTCTTACCATCCTTCCGCCCGCAAACACCCGGGCGATTCATGTGCTTGGGCCGTGAGTATTAGATCACTGGTCTGGACAAATTATTCCCTTTTCATTGTACTTTCCTGTGACGCATGAAGTCTCTATGACACTCTTTTTTATGTTCCAATCAGTCCTCCTAACGCATCTCCAGCTCACTCTGAAAGCGTTCATTCAATTGCTCTGGGCCTAGAGCGTGTGCATGTCAATAACAGCGGCTGACTTCCAATAGTCTAGGCTATGATACTACATTGTTCACTCGGCATATGAAGTTCATTAGGGCTGAAGATCCCGATGCATCTCAGGTATCTCAAAGCGAGGTTGCCTTTCTCTACTACAGACCATGTAGCGACTGGATTAAAGCTAGGAAGATGATAATGTTTGTCAATCATTCCATGCAGGTGAATTGGAATAGACGGTTGACATGTACGCTATTCTGGAATTGACAATTTAATATAAAGGTTCAATCTAATAGAGGTAACATTTCACTTGTAGTACAAATGTACAAATGTACTCCTTCTATACTGTCACTGCATTGACACACTCATGGGCTGTTTGATCAAAATCACATAATCCCTGCTGATGGCAACAGTTGAATTGATAATGTGCCTGGAGACCTTTCCGAGGCCAAACAATGGCAATAATTCTATTTGGCAGAAATCCAAATTGATTATCATACATTCGGATGATTGACATAGCCCAGAAAAAGCAACGGAGTTTCTCTCCGCGGGACCACGTATACAACTCGTATGCAGTATCCTTTTACAGCTAGTGGTTTGCTGTGTCTGTCGCATTGGCCCGAATTGGATTCACTCTTGAAAAACGAACGAAGTAAGCAGGTCCAGTTCCTTTGTCATTCGAGAAGCCAATGGCCCGATTTTGAATGACGCAGACTATTATCCCGATGGCGTAGCTGGGATATTGGCGCTGATTTCTTGCAGCGACTGCTTTGAGCGATGATAAGCCGAATTCTCAATCTTTCACAAATTGATCTGCACTATTGAAATTGGCCTGAGTGTCTTTCATTGATCTCCAGGATCGCCAGTAAATTGACGTTTTAGCAGGATGGGATGAATTTTTAACAAGGCGCTTCATACACAGACCAGCTACCTGTTCAATAGTAATAATCGCAAATGGAGGAACTGTATTATACTTTACGCTGAAAGTCCTATCGCTCGATTTTACGCAGTGGGTATTGCAATTGACTTCATTCATACAAGATAGGCTATAATTTTTGTTAAGCCTGATGGTGAAGTGCCGCTATATGCCTCCCCAGTCGAAAACAATTCTCTGGAAGACAAAACTCAATTTTCGAAGTCAACTAGGAACATGCCTCGTCCAGGAACGGTACTGAAGCTTGCATATTATGTTGACTGCATTGTAGTGTATGTTCTAGAGTACTAGCCCTCCACAGCAGGCCCTAAGCAAACACAAACCTATTTCGCACAAAATCATTCCCAATCCAAGCAAGGACACACAGGGCAAGAGCCAAAGCCGAGTATAAACACGCTATCAATGCAGTTCCCCTCTGGCCTGGCTTGAACCGATGCCATCCAGTTCCCGAGCGGGCAGGAAGCGGCAAAAAGTCCAAGTGCTCGGCTCCAGCTATTGCCTTTGATGCCGTATCAGCCGGGAAATCGCCGGAGTAGGGCAGGTAGTAGCGTCCGAGCACCTTGAGGAAGAGGTTCTGCCTTGAATGCAATCTAACAACCATTCTGGCTGTTTGGTAGATTTCAAGTACACGGCGAAGTCGGGTTCGATTGAATTTTTCCAGGAGACCATCTATTTCTGCCGGTGATAAGGTAGTACCACCAGGTGTTGCTCGAAGAGCCCGGTAAAGGCAGTTCACAAGGGCAGCAGCGTCCTCAATGGCGCAGTTGGCCCCTTGGCCCGTATTTGGAGCCATCTGTGTTGATGGTTGTCAGACCAGCATTCAAATTCGATCTCACTGAAGGCAGAAACCTACTTTGTGCATGCTGTCCCCAATGCAGACGATTCGTTCCCAATGCCATTTTTGAAACACATTTTCCTCGAGATTCGTCATGGAGAACACCTGTCTGTTCCTCCATAGGTCTCGAAAACACACTCCGTCCCAGATATGGTCGTCGGCATATCGCTCACACATCTTCTCGGCGTCTGTGGAGGAGAAACGTGGAGCATTGGAGTACGAGTATTTTCGGTCGAGCTTCAGCAGGAGGAACCAAAAGACTCTGCCATTCTTCCCGGGAAATATGAGGTACGACCTGCCATTGTTCAAGCTGCCCACTTGCTCGCCTGCTTTCAGCTTGGGGACAGAAGACGAGATTCCGAAAACGCAGGCAAACTCGACTGTCATAGCTAGAAATCCGGAATGCAATCAGCTTTATTCGATCGCATCCTTTCTTGAATATGATAGTACCCACAACTCATTTCATGCTCAGGGAATGCACCTGGACTTTTCGAATTGGCCAGTCGCCACATTTCAGCGCGCACTCGACTGTGAACACCATCAGCACCGACAACCAGACTGCCATGATATATATTTCCATCCTGGGTTGTAACCCTCATCAGATCCGAATCCTCCCGCTCTACAGAGATGACAGCCTTTCCCACCAGAATTCGGGATGCATCCGGAAGTGTGTCATAAAGCACTCTGAGCATTCGTCTCCGCTCTAGAAAGGCGAGAGGTAGGCCAAATCTATAGCCCAGATTAGCAGTGAATACGGCAAGTTACATGGAGGCAATACCGCTCATGGATGACCCGTGGGGCCTTAGTGGTGTGCGCGAATCCATCCGGAAAGCACTGATGCGCCGTGTGCAATGGTTCAATCTGCTCCTCGATCAAATAGAATAACCCCAACTGCTGCAAAATCTGACCTCCATGAGGAAGAATGCCGATAGACGCGCCCTCCTGCGGCGCGATTTGCTTGCGCTTTTCGAGCACGATATAGTCGATGCCTGCTTTGCTGAAGCAGTGAGCGAGGGTAAGGCCAGCAATCGATCCGCCCACGATTATGACTCTGAAAGGGGGTTTGGTCGTCATCGTAGGCAATGTACTCGAGGAAGCGTCACCACTCCGTGTCTAGGTAAACTAGGAGTAGGAGAGTATGGAAGAAGGGGAGTGTGCATCTATTGGTCAGCGATGAATGTAAAATTGCTAAAGAAAATGTTCGTAAATAGGCAGTATGTGATTAGGGACTTTGTTCAACCCCAGAGAGCCTCGTAGCTAGCATCTGGGTACTATTGGAGAAGAAAAGTCCTTGCCATACTGCTCTGGTAAGTAGCCAACAGTGAGGAAATTCCTGTGTTTCCATTGTTTTGCAAATACCGGCTGCATCGTCATGACGAGGAATCCTTTAATTTGGGTCAGAATTGGTAACACACCGTAGGTTGTACAAGAAATGCCCGTTTGACCGCAGAGGCCCTTATCTATATTGATGTCGAAATGGGACGATCTGCAGTCATCTGCATGTCCATCACATTGACTTTAGTGGTCAGTGTCCTTGAAAGATACTTGGATATCAACAGACTCGCCTTTTGAGGCAATTGGATGCCACCAAGCTCCTATGTGCATGATGCCAGCGCTGGGACGACCTATTAGGAACAGACCGCTTGAATTGATCATAGATTCGACTTGCGATTCAGAAATGCAGTAATTCTAAAGAACTATATGTTGGGAGGACCGTGGTCAGGAAAGTACTCTGCTCATTCGAACATGAATTCCCTGTATTCACACTAGGCATATTTTAGGTAAATATCATGATTCTATTGAACATACTCTTAACGATGGAGTATATAGCCACCATCTAGCAGCAAGACGCAGGAGAATACCTCATGCTTGACGTCCAGCCCGGGGTTCCAGAGTCCATCTTCACTGGAATCCGCGCCAATAGAACATGTACATTCACTCACGCCTTCTTTACTTCGGCACCTTTTTCGGTCTGCCGAATATACCAGAAGATAAAGCCATATATCACATCGACGAGCAACGAGGTGCCCACAAACCACCTCGTCAGTGCATTGTCCGACCACCCCCACATCTGCGGCCAGATCCATGCCTTCAAAAACACCCCTGTGACTGCCGAATAGGAGCCGATAACGCGGGAGATCCTGAATATTCGACGGAGAGTAATTGTCAGCTTCCGGTAAGTTTCAAGCAAGGAAAACAAGCATTCAACAGCAAAGGCACCTACCACATCGCCCATGACGCCCCATGCGTGCTACCCCGGTGCACAAGTTGACCCAAGCAACTAGCGCTCATAAGCAGCAGGGAAAACATTCCTCCCCACCAGACCCCCTTGGTAGGGTCAAACATTTGCGCGAGCACGAGATAGCCCGACAGAAAGCCCATAATAGTCAAGACGATGATCAGCGGGAGATGCTTGTGCATCAGCGGTGACGGAAGCTGCGCTTTCATGGAAAATTTGACCGAGCCGTACAAAATGACCATATTGATTGACAGCCACAAGGCAAAAAAGACGTCCATGAGGAAGTATGGGGGCCGGTGGATCAGGACGACCATCATCTCCCAGGCGATATTGCAGCAGAGGCAGACAAGTGGCATTCCGCAGGCCCTATCCCTGAAGATCTTCCGGGCCGTAAGGATGTAGTTGATCACCCAGCTCATTCCGGTGAGAATGACCAGCATGTCGAAGATACGTTTCTTGGCCAGGTATTCGGCCGGAGCAGAGGAAAAGTCGAATGCGTCCATGATGGTGGGCAGTAGGGATGTTGCCAATGCAATTCTGACTGAGATTGAGTCAAGGGTACCGTTCGGAGAATATCTCGATCCAACAATCTTCACTTTATAATGGTTACTACTCCCTGTCAACCAGGGGAGAAATAATGATACATCAGAAGAGGCAGTATGATCCTGGTAGGGTACAGTACATCGTGCGTTCGATCATCAAACTCGGTTGAATTCGCTATGTGTCGGATCTGGGAAAGGTATCGGAATCGACAATGGGGATGTTCATGTACTCTGTGCCTCGAGTATTATCATTCCCTCAATAGCAGAATCAGTTATTCACTTCCCCCCTCGAAAAAGAGCTGTTCCTGTCGGTTTGCCCAGTTACGAATGCAATCCAGCCTAGCTGGTAGACACCATGTCAATCGGTCCAGTTGACAATGTGGGACAAGTGATATGCTAAACTGACACCCTCGAGGCAGGGATGTAGGTTCTGTGTGACAATCTTTGGGCTTGTAAATCAGATACTAATCCTCTTTCTTTTTCTCCCACGTCGTTATCAGTATTTTCTAAAATCAGCCCACCAGCATGGTCATAATCTCCATCCGACCAGGTAAAGTTACACTGCATATGGATAAAATGAAAGCCAAGTCAAAAACTAGATCAAACTCTTCCTGCGCCGCAATTGTGCCTAGATTGTACAAGTTTCTAGAGATTTCACATTTCTATAGTACGCCCTCAGAAGGCCACTTCATATCTCTCTAGGTGATTACCACAAGTCGATTCTGGGTAATATTTCGTACTCTTCTGAAATCTACCTTTCCTATCTGCTGCAATATGGTAGCGATCCCGGTAACGTCCCTCTACGAGCTCAATCGCCAGCAGCCCTTCCAAGAGCCTTCAAAGTCGCAATGGTCTCATTCAAACTTTTTCATGCCGCAAGAAACCCGATCTCAGGCAGTAAATGGCACTTTGATAGAAACAGAAACAGCCAGCTCTAGTATCCCTTGCATCTTTCACGGTGCGTCCGACGTCCAGCAACAGAGAAAGTTCACTCAAGAAAAGGCACGCGGTGAATTTTGCCTCATGGCAAGCTTTCTGTACTCTAACAAGCCTCTTACACCAGATAATCTCTGCTCCTCTCGATTACCTTTGCGGCTTCCCAGGCAAAGACATCAGAGGCAAGCTGATTTCTGCCTTCAACCAATGGCTCCAGATCCCGGAAGACAAGCTCGACGTTATCAAGCGGGTGGTCGGGCTACTCCATTCGGCCTCGTTACTGTACGCGGTCCTCTGCATGTTTTCCATGCAAGTATGAAGCTTACAATCCACAGAATCGATGATATCCAAGATTCTTCAAAACTAAGACGAGGATTCCCCGTCGCCCATAGCATTTTTGGTGTCGCGCAGACCATCAATTCGGCCAACTTTGCCTACTTCTGGGCTCAACAGGAGTTACAAAGGCTAGGCAAGCCCGAGGCCCTGGTCATCTTCACGGAAGAGCTGTTGAGGCTCCACCGCGGCCAGGGGATGGATCTCTACTGGCGAGATTCCTTGATCTGTCCCTCGGAAGAGGAGTACCTTGAGATGGTTGCCAACAAGACTGGCGGGCTCTTCCGGCTTGCGATCAAGCTCATGCAGATGGAAAGCGAGAACACAAAGTAAGCTCATCCCTTTACACTGCGTGTATGGAAGTTAATAGAGGTACAGAGATTGCGTCCCGCTCGTCGACCTTCTGGGAATCATCTTCCAGATCCGAGACGACTACCAGAACCTTCAGAGCGACCTGTATGCTAAGAACAAAGGGTTCGGTGAAGACATCACGGAGGGCAAATTTTCCTACCCCATCATCCACAGCATTCGCAGTGATCCGAGTAATCTCCAGTTGATGAACATTCTGAAGCAAAAGCCCGAAGACGAGGATGTCAAGCGGTACGCTATTCGCATCATTGAGTCTACTGGAAGCTTCGATTATTGCCGGAAGAAGCTGGCGGGGCTTACGGCAGAGGCAAGAGAAATGCTGAAAGACTTTGGTGATTTAGGCAAAACAGCTGGGTTGAAGGGTATACTGGACTTTCTAGAGTTGAAGGAGTAGCCACAGCCAATTGATCACCTAGCGTCCATATAATGTGCAAGATGGTCGCTACCTAATGATTAATTTGCAATCTTATTCTCTGCTGTCTCTTATGTTCAGATCTTCATCTACAGTTAATAGCCAGCGGCTAATATTAACATAACAGCTTATTTACAGTCTTAGTAAGAATGTCTATATCAGAAAATAGTTTAGGATGCAGAACCATGCTCATAGTATTATAGCTTTCTCTACACAATAGGCGCACAGTCTAAGCCGTAACCCAAAGAAATGGCAACAGTCAGGAGGATGTATAGTTTAAAACTAGCAAGCCTATTAACTAGACACATTTCATTCAAGCTATTAACCCCATTATAGCTAATGCACAATCAGACGTATGGCATTCCTAGCCATGTTCTAAGATTCATAGATTGTTATCAGCCCCTGTAATGCTGGGAAAATCCAGCTCGCCACCAGGCCATAATACGACAGTTCAACCTACTATGCCACTATCATAGATCACGGAGCCAATAGTTATCATGGTTCACAAGCTGATCCTTCAGCCATGAAAGGAATACCCTGGCCCGTCCAGACCAACACCCCGCAAAACAACTTACCTTAAGTTCGTACAGAACGCGCCAATCAGGTCGCTTCCAACCGATGGCTTTCAAGACTGAGGTCATGGCCTGATGTGAATGAGGTACATTAGCTGCTTGATGTGAATTGCTATTGCAGTCGACGTCCTATAAGGTTCGTCCTCGCGTTTTTCGGCTTATCGGGCAGCTAAAGGGCTCCTGTCGGCGTTATGAGCAACGCCCCGGTTAAGACGATAGTTGCAGGATTGCTGATATGCGCAATGCAGCTGTTCCTAGGTTTGTCAGCTGGCTGATTGCACGATAGCAGGAGTTTGGACGGCCGAGTCAGGCGACAAGCCAAGCTGTTGACGTGGGTTTATCCTTGATACTGTGCAGCTCAATCAGTCAACTCTAGTATGGTAGCTGCTTAGCTACGACACTTGGGCTTTTCACAGTTGTCAGCTACTCAACTGGCAGGAAGGTAAGACTGGATATATTGAGTGTACTATTTAAGATGTATATTTTAGTTGAACATCATCCTCATTGATATATCAATCGTTACCTGATTTGACTTGTGCTTCCCTTCTCAACTAGTCGTCCAGACAGAGAAATGCTCAGATTGTACAACATCATGGAAACTGACCCAGCTCCTCAGCGGGGATCTGTCCTACAGCTCCTGAAGGACCTGCTCATCCTATCCAGATTTCACAAGTACAACCCATGGCTTGCTACATTCTCAGGAGGTGTGTCCCTTCCTTACATACAATAATCACTCCATTGACCTCCGGCATTCTCAGTTTGGGCAACGTTGCTTGCCGGCGCCAATAAAATAGCCGCTAATCCGACCTCGAGCTCGCCCAATCACATCCTACAACAAGCTCTTCTATGCTTCGTCTGCGCCTACATCTTCTGCGGTGCAGGCATGGTCTGGAATGACTGGGTTGACCGCAAAGTCGACGCAAACGTAGAGCGCACCAAGAATCGGCCCGTGGCAGCGGGAAGAGTTACTGCAACCCAGGCCTTTATCTGGATGATGGTCCAGTATGCTGCCTCGTGGTGGCTGATGGATATTATGCTGGAGGGTCACGACGTGTATGAGCCACCTCTACAAGAGTCTCGAGAACGTTGGTAACTAATCCAAAACAGCGCAGCTGCTATGCTCCCAGTCACCGTCAGCACGATTCTCTATCCCTACGGAAAGCGCCAATTCTTCCGACGACTATACATCTATCCCCAATACTTTCTCGGCTTTACACTGGCTTGGCCCAGCGCCATCGGATGGATGGCAATCAAAGGCCGAGAGATCCCAGTCACCCAAAGCATCGCCGAGTCCCTTCCCCTGGCAATCACCGTCTTCGCATGGGTCATATACCTCAACACAGCATATAGCTACCAGGATATCGTCGACGACTCGAAGATGGACGTGAACTCGGTGTACGTCCTCGCAGGTTCACGCATCCACTCGTTCCTGATCGTCCTCGCGAGCCTCGTGCTCTGCTCTGTCTATCTACAGCTGCGGACGCAGAATTCCGTGTGGCTGTGGGCTTCGTGGATGTGTGTCTGGACTCTCTCGTTTGTGCATCAGCTGCTGAGATTCGATGCGAACAAGCCGGAGAGTGGAGGCCCGCTTCACAAGGAGAACTTTGCGCTTGGGCTGTGGACCATCGTTGCCTGCGTTGTCGAGTTGGGGCTCACGTCGGTAAACTTGAATGATTTCTTGTCCCACTCGGTCTTCCGCCTCAAGTGATACCCACAGTGAACATAACGGTAAAGGTCGAGGCACAAGTCAAGGATCTTCCGCTGGGCAAGGCAGTGCCGCTGTGCTCGACGATGCCAGGCTGCATGTTCGTTGGCAATGGGATGGGCCCTGGTAATCAGCTTTTTTCTTCGTAATCTCTTTGCTATCCTTGAGTCGGGCGATAGGGATGATTAGGACGAATAGTTTAATGCGCTGCATTTGTGGACTCTGTCTCTGAGGTGTGAGTAGGACTATGGTGCGGAACTCGTGGAGTCGTAAGAAGCAGGGTGCTTCAGACAATAGCTATTGCTTAGTGCGTATTTTGATAAATACTCTGTCTCTACTCCATAATATATGATGGTATTTCCAAGTATAGGGCAGTAAAGGGTACTGCCAGATACTCAGTAAGCGGTCTCGACTCTGATTTCGGCTGAGTTCAGACAGATTCTGCAACAGAAGCAAAGGCATTTTTGCAGCTTCGTTCTGTTCTTTGATCTCGCGCAAAGCTGATTATCCTCTGGTGAATGGTTTGTTGGATGCATAGAAGATACTAGATTATCCACATAATGGGACCAAAAGAAATATATAATCTGACGCCAATGCAGGACGACCTACCCAACACTCACTAGAACAAGCAATAAGCAACAATGTTTAATACACATATCAATCGAATAATTTCAAGAAAATAGAGAAACCGTACCAAAAACAGGAAAAGAACTGTTCAACGTGGTGGCGAAAAAAAAGTCGATCTACATGGGACTCGAACCCACAACCTCCTGTTTTCCAGCATAGGAGACAGGTGCTCTACCATTGAGCCAATAGACCTTTTGTAGCCCAAAAACTCCCATAAATGCATTATATCCCAAGCCGAACTCTACAGGATCCTCTGTCTCTGCGGGGTAGCCATATCAATACATTGCGCTAACAGACAAACAACGCAATTCTTAAGATAAATGAACAACCATCTCAGTCTGTCAATTGCAGCAAGAAAAGTATTAGATCCCTATAATCTCGAAATGACCACCCCCAATCCACCCAGTCAAAGCAGCCTCTCCACCAGAGTCTCCCTTCGCTGGATCCCCGACCCCGCCTTCGAGAACACAGACACCATCGTCATGTCTCTAATGGGCTGGTACGTGGATCTCCGCGTCGACAAATCCTCCGGTAAAATCGACTGGGCTATTGCCGGCCAACGGATAGTAGAAAGCCAAGAGCCGCGTACGTCCCTCGAGCAATCTGTGACCCCAAAGCTAACCCAAACAGTGCGTGTGCTTTTCACCCACGATATCGACTCGCACAATGCGTTTGATGCAACAGATTGTGGCACATTTACCTCGCTTCCGAACGGGGATGACCTTGAGACGGGGTCGATGCCGCGTCCGGACCTTCCTGGTGCTCCGATTAAGGAGTATGAGGAGGTGTGGCGGGAGTTGCCGTTCAAAGAGGGTCCAGAGGGTCCAGGGCGAGGAGTTTCATGGGTGCTGGAGGCGCTGGGAGATGGGCAAGGGATCATTTTGGCTCGGACGTTCATTGCGAGAATCTGGGGGACTTATGTAGCGCTGCGCCAGGAACAGACGCACTTCTGTGGGGAAGATTCGAAAACCATGGTCAAGGACGGAGGGGAGGTCAGCGCTAGACGAGAGGAGTGGGACTCTATTTCTGGGTGGAAGACGAAGTACATCCTAGGCCCGGATGTCGACAAACTACCCTCCATGTCGACGATCGACACCGGAGATTGGAGCGTCGGAAGAGAAGTGGTAGTGAGCGGCCAGCCATACATTGTACGAGCGTTTGAAAGAATTGAACATGTCGAATGAACATTCAAGTGATCTAGACATTCATGTCTGTCTCTATATACAGGTATATACATTAGAGGTCATCATTTACTGGTCGTTAACAAGGACGTAGCGGTAGCGGGCCTTGCCAGCGTCCATGTCGATAACGGCCTGGTTGGCGTCCTTCATGGGTCTCTCCTGGATCCAGGGGTGGACACCCTTCTCAGCGGCAAGCTGGAGCATCTCCCGGAGCTCACCAGGGCTGCCGATCAGGGAACCGCCCATCTTGATTCTACGGCCAATCAGGGAGTGGGCGGGGATTTCGAGAGCACCGTCCTCGGGAGCGCCCATCTGGACGAAGGCACCGTCCGTGCGGAGAAGGGAAATATATTGCACAATGGGCATCTGGTGAATGTCAGATATGGGCCTCATTAACCGAGACATAAGGAGTGGTGATACATACCTTGGAGGAAGAAACAGTGGAAACAATTAGGTCGAGGGAACGGTTGTGGCGCTTACTCCAGTCCGAGTCATCATCAGTGGCAATGTACTCATCAGCACCCAGCTTGAGAGCGTCCTCCCTCTTGTTGGCCTTGCGGGAGATGGCGACGACCTTGTCAGCGCCCAGCGCCTTGGCGAACAGGATACCAAAGTGTCCCAAACCTCCCACCCCGATGACCCCGACCGTCTTCCCCGGACCGCAGCCGTAGTGCTTCAGAGGAGAGTAGAGGGTGACACCACCGCACAGCATGGGGGCGGCCTCCGCAGAGGGGATGGAATCGGGGATCTTGACAACGAAGTGAGAGGGAGCACGGTGGTACAGAGCGTATCCACCGTACGACTTGTCGCCGTTGAAGTGGACGCTATTGTATGTGCCGACCATTTTAGTACTACAGTACTGCTCCAGACCGGAGGCGCACTCCTCGCAGTCGCCCTTACGGCCCAGACAGGAGTCGTTCTGGGCACCAACACCAACACGGTCACCGACCTTGATGTCTCCCTCAGCCTTGGAACCAACACGCACGGCTATTCCGACAATTTCATGACCGACACAGCAGGGGTACAGGGTGGGGCCCTAAAGATAAATTAGTCTCACCATGTGCAATGCATGTTGAAAAGAAACATACCCATCCACTTCTCAATGTGTGCAGATCGGAGCCGCAGATACCAGAGTGGGTAATCTTGATGTCGATATCAGTCTCCTCCCACGCCTTGGGCGTGAACTCCTTCCACACCATGTTGCCCTCGGCAGCATGCTTGTCAAGGCCAAGCCAGCCCTCGAACTTGTAGTCGGTAGCAGACATTGTAACTTGTCCTTTCAACGGCACAGTTTAAGTTGAGAATGTGTGTGGTACACCTGATTCTCCACGGGTCCTCACGAAGTCTTATATACACTACTTCCGGATCGTACTGGACAAGATGGAAAATCGCTGATGCTTAGAAATCGGGCAAGAAATTTCTGTATCCACCCGCCTTAAACATGGTAAGCGCCCACTTTAATCTCCATTATGTCCGGCAAGCCGCGACAGTTCTGATCGGGCCGGTCCTCTATCTTTTTTGGTGTCCCAAAGTGTACGGGATGCCTTTGTGTTGTGGCACAAATGACGATTTTGCAAGTTTGCCACGTCGATAAGCTTTCTTATGGCCTGTAAGCTAGCTGACTCTGCTGCTTACTCGGGGATAACTCAATCCTTCAGAGAAGAGTGGAATTTCGGGATGATTCCATCGGTGGGTCGGTCATCCCTCGTGGCTCCTCAACCGCATTTCCGGTTGGCCTCCGCTATTCTGATTGGTCGTACAAATTTAAGCCTGGGGCTGCATATGCAGGTCGCTTATGCCCTGCGTCATTCTTCAGAAATTTGATCTCCACTATTTTCCCACGTCACCATGGGGACTTTCTGATCAAGTTGAGCCGACTCCATGGCCGATTAGTGATACGTCCTTGGATGCATTTTGTCCTTCATGCCCTAAAACAGCGCGGGGGGAGTATGCCATACACCCTTCTGCAAACCTAGCTAGACATGATAAAAAGACCTGAAAAAAACATACAACAGCGGGGATTCGCTGGTGGTCACCCAGCCGGCGTGTGGCTTAAGTACGGCTGAGCGGACGGGAAGCCCTGTTTTCCACACCCTATGGTCGTATGTGCTAGTTACGCTGACAAAAGTAATCCATACGGGGTATTCAAGTATCGGAGTAGATAGTATTGCCCACCATTGGAGTGATCAAACGATTTAGGCTAATGGTACGAAGGAGGCAGCGCCTAAGAAAGTTGTTGTTATCCCTTTTCCTCTTGTCTGTCCTGTTTTCCGATAACCGGTAACCCACTCTTTTCAAGCTTCGCCACCCGATGTTCGATCGACCATGACTCGGCTTCACCGGGCCATCATGCCTCGGCCCGGGAATCTCTCTGCTTATTGGATACGCAAGAAAACCGAGACCTCGGCTTGGGGATATGTAATAGCAATTCACAATGCATGCAAGATAAGGACAGAGCAGGACCCTCTTCTTTGCAGTATGCTCGAATGGTAATGTGGTGATTTGAAGCACCGAAGATGGTCATACCTCGTCTTTTGATCTCAGTCAATCACATACCTGGAATGTGTTTATCGAAATCCTACTGCCAACAGACATGAAAGTGTGCCAGTGGTATGTCTATAGTCTCCGATTCGATTCTGGTGGGAGAGTCACAAAAAGGATAAAAGAGAAGTTTTAGAAGACTCATGACGTTGCCCTCTTTCTCGAGATCGTCCCCTCTAGACCCCAGGCTCAACACCCTTACTTCAGTTGGAAGGTTTACCGCTGAGCCATGACGGTTCGCAGGCACGTCAAGAAGCTTGTGAATGGTTTTATTTTACCCAAAGGTGGGGGCGGACTTCGATTGAGACCATAGTTGCAACGGGGCGATCAAATTACCAACCATAACTGCCCACGGGAAGCATGGAAGAACGTGTACTGGCCACATCGTATAGAAGTGGACTTTGGCTCTACCAGTGTACGGTGTATAGCACCAAAGGACATCCTCTGAGGGCTAGAAAGGAACGTGTATTCTCAAGGCCGTGATAGAAAGGATGGACTGCGAGTTCTAGAGGAGTGAAAGAGCTATATGATTGACATCTCTTCCTTGAATAGGAACCTTTGGTGAAGTAGTACTTATCTCATAGCAAGTATGCGTCCAACACAATATGATTACTATCCAACAGGGTTCTTCTGCCTATGGACCGCCCTAAGCTAGATCATATAAGCCAAAAGCACATAACGCCCTATTCAATGTCAATGATGGTCCAACGCAAGCAGCATGAGGCGACGGTCAGCCAGGTATGATACACAAACGAAGTAAGCCAACCCAGTTAATTACAACCGTGACCTTCCACCCACGATCTGCCCGTTGTCGAATTGCAGCGCAAAAATATCACGGCCTGCTGTGTCAACCACCGCAAGACACGAAGTAGCAGAGTTATCTCCTCCGATCTGGAAACAATCCACGAGCAGGTCATCCCGTCCATCTGTGCGTTGGTGGATGAGGCTCAGAAGCTGATTCCACAGCTCTGTTACTCCCCCCTGCTCCTCTCCTGCAGCCTGCTCTTTTGGACCCCGGTACTCAATCACAACATGGAACTCCTCCAGACCCCTGCGGACTAGGGAGTTGTATATCGAGTCACAAGCATCATGCCAGACACCGTGCAGATTAGGCTCACGAGCGATGACCTTCGCGACCGGAACGAAGCCCTCTTCACCGTCACCGTGGGCCTCTACGAGTTCGTAGCGCAGCTCCTCGATCGGAATGCCGTATTCGGAAAGGATGTAGTGTATTACCTCCTCGAGGCCGCGGTCGTCCCGCGCCGCGAGGATCAGGTCGAAGAACCGATGCCAGACTTGGCGAGGACCTTGGTCAATGAGCATGGGATCGATAGTCTCGTCTTCCATGACAATGTCAGTGCTTAACGAGGGGAATACATGGTCGAGCTCCTGGATCATCCTCTCTAATTCGTTGGGCGGAGTATCTGGCGGAGTAGGGTAAGCCTGCGCCTGGCTAATGGTGGGTAGCCCGTGGGGGACCTCGGGCTGGTAGGTGTATAATGGCATCTCGAAGTGTGGTTGATATTGTAAGACAGCGAATGACTAGTGAGATGTTATGGTTACGAGAGTGGGCGAGAGTGTGTGTTGTAGGGTACTGATAATAGCAGTGTATAGCGATTCGCATGAATTGAGTGGTTGCTAGAGAAATTGAAACGAAGGAACGAGGTGAGGATGCTGATCTAACTCAGCGGACTCGACTAGCATCACGCGTCGTCATTGAAATGCGACGATGAATGCAGATGCCATCGTTCTGGGTGAGTAACTAACAGCATATTGTTACTTTCCCAATTCGGAGTCGGCTGGCTTCACTGGTAGAATCCATGGGACGTCGAAGTCAAAATGTCTACGGAATGAGAGACAGGCGGTACCTACCTTATGCTTAGGTTGTTCCTAAGGGAATGGCCGTATCTAGATCCCAGAAAACCATTTCCTGCCCTTTCCATGTTGGCTCAGACCTGACTGGCTCTGCTGGCGAGGATACGGAATTTGTCTGGCAATTAGGAACATTGATTGCCAATCTTGTTCAACCCTGTTGTGCTGGGGATAGAGCATTGCAATTATTGCTCTTTAACGAGGAATGCCTACTGAAGTCAATGTGTTCTTGCCTTGACTGCCGTCATCATGATCCGTCTAGGGTTGCTGGAGAGAAGATCAATCTGGCACATGGACTCCGTTGTATGTTGCTTTTCAAAGTGAAGCATTGTCCAACAAGGCGAAGGATTGGAGTTCATATTGAAGATAGATCCGCAGTCCAGCACTTCGACGATTGAGTCGGCCCTCAGCCCTTGTATACTAATGTGATCATTGTCAGATGGAGGGCAGCAAATCGGCCATCTAGTGACTGTCACATAGCTAAAAACCATCAAGTCACTGTGCCCTTCTTCTGGCGCAGCTATGGCAGTCAACAGTGGATGTTATTTACTCTTACTTCTAGTTGCTTTACTCCATAGTGAATGATAGTTTCCTTATTATACATTAACCATGCCATTGTTGGAAGCAATCTCTCTAATGAACACATGTTAGTGAGTCATAAATGAAGTTTATAGATCCAGGGTTCCCCTTGCCAGAGAGGAATGGGGTTGAAGGATGATCTCACCATTTATAGTGCACTGTCATAGACGAAGCTTTGTCTGCCCCGCTGGTCCCCCTATTTATTGACGCGACTCCCGCCTTCCGCCATTCCCCCACTTCAACTCCTTCATCCACTCCTCCAACCTCCCACAAATCGACTCAATCTGCAAGTCTCAGCAAGCCAATATGCCCCAGAACCAGGACTACACCTACAAGAGCTCTGGCACCAATAGCCAGGTGAGCTTTGATCGTCTCCATCCATGATATGACTACTGGAACTCACATCTACAGGGCAACCACTACTGCGCTCGCGACTACGGCTCTGGCGCCGCCAATTCCAACTCGTACCACTATTCCAACAGGTTCGTGGTTCTCCTTGTCTTTGCGAGTCGTGCTAATGCCATGTGTTGTCTAGCAATGGATCGTACTACTACTCCAATTCCAACGGCAGCACCTACTACAATGACGGAAAGGGAAGCTCGACCTACACTCCTTCTGGCGGGAAGAAATGAGTGACTGCTTGAGGAAGAAGGATTCAATGACTTTTTGTTATGAAACCTCATGGCTGAATAGCTCTTCTGATCTACAAACGCGCGAATGCGCGAATAGCAGACAATTAACGGATTTCTGACCTTCTTTCTTCTATATGGTAATCACGAAAGGTCGAGATCCGAGGTAGTAACTCTTGGCTTTTAGGGATATACTGAACAAAGAAAGGTTCTCTTGTTGCTTGCCATCGTGGATTTCAAGTCCTCCTCTATTCTCGATGATGTTGCCAACAAGTCACAACAATGCGTCTTCCCTGTGTCGCTTAACCACAACTAATATCCTCCTTGTTCCTCGACATCTATCGCTAAGAAAATGTTCTACGGCTGAAATTGCGCCAAAGCAGCAAAGTCATAAGTTGATGGCATTATTCGCGTGTTGAGACAGAAGTGCTCTGCTTGCAAAGCAAGACAAATCCAATATCAACGTGATTACATTACATTAAGACGATCGAGCAAATTATGAAACGTCTCGCTTGAAACCAAAGCCATGAACGATCAAGCCTGCCGCTTCTCTCTCTCCGCGCGTCTCTTCTCCCGCGCTTCCGGACCAGCAACCGTACCCATCAACACTAGCCGCCGTCAGCAGAGATCCCGAATGACAACAGAAGGCACTTACCATCCCAATGCCTAAACGAACTAGAATAATTCCCCCAGAAATAGCGATGGTGGTCATCGTGCCAATCCGCCCCGCCCCAGAACGGCATGATCCGCCTCAGACTCCAGGGGAAATCGTACCCGGAATGCGCGTCGATGGCCTGGAACTGCCGCAGCGCCACCCACGCCAGCACCGTCACCAGGTGCACGTTGCAGTTCATCAGTCCCAGGAGCAATGGGGGGCCGATGGTGCCGAAGCCCAGCAGGAGGGTCTCCCAGGGACTTGCGTACTCGGCTGTCAGCCCGAAGGGGGCGGCGTATTGGTGGTGGATGCGGTGGATGGAGCGGTAGAGCGGGCCCCAGTGCATGGCGCGATGCAGCCAGTAGTGGTAAGTGTCTTCGAGGAGGAAGAAGGTGATGATTTGTGCGGTGAGGGTGCGGAGGTCCGGGAAGGGGGTGGTGAAGCTCAGTCCGCAGAGTTCCATCATGGGGTGGAAGAGGACGATGAGGGGGAGCTCGATGACGAAGTGGATGAGGAGGATGTACTTTGTGCAGGCCCATTGCTCTGCTGCGGATGGAGGAGGTTTCTGGTCCTGGATCTTGTATTTGAGGAAGATGCTGGGGAGGGCGTCGGCGATGATCCAGGGGAGACAGCGGCTGAAGTAGATGATTTCGTGGGCGAGGAAGGTGATGATGCCTATATCAGTTAGATTGGGACCTTGGTTTATCGTCTTTGTCTGACTTACCAGTTGCGAGGATGTTATTGTCCCAGTAGGCATAATGCGCCCACCAGAGTCGCTCGAGACCGGAGAGATGAGGCTGTTGCTGAGCGGCGAGATTGAGAAGATCAGGATAGGTCGCCATGGCGGGCTGTGGATAGGTGGAATTGAGCGAGTCCATGGCGAACAACTCACTCCTGGTTCAGTAGAGGGAGAGTTGTTGGAAAAGCCAAGCGATAGATTGTTGATGCTCTATATAGACCACAGCGGATAGGGTCAAGTTACCCGGAATGGCATGATCCGAATGGCTGGACCAGCAACAGGCCACTCGGGAGGAAGGTGGATCCTATCATATCAGCCAATGCAGGGACAATCGATCACGATCTCTCCTTACCTTAGTTTGCTGATTGATTATTTTAGAAAGTGGCACTCCGCCTATTGACAAGCGCGAGTAATAGTATCCTGGTGCCTGAGGGCTCGTACGACGTCGGCCCGCGTTTGGTGGATCGCTACCCGCACAATTCAAACGGCGTTAGAGCGAATCCCGAGATGGTGTTTGAAACATAGCATTATTGTGCTCATGATTCAAATGTTCAAGAAGATTAGTATCCGAATGCGAATGGCTTGTTTGCTCCTCTTAATTAGCCAGCGCAGTCAATGTATCTCCACTCAGTCCTCACATTGGCCTCTATTCTCATTCAATGTTTGTTTACTCAACCACACCACTGCCAGACTCCTAATTATACAGTCAGGTTCTCTCATATGATAAGATAAGGAGTACTAATGAGCAAGATTGTTCCAAGCATGACTTTTGTCTGACATCTCAAACACATACATAAATTGCAACAGTATTACATATCATCATGGCCATGGATAAAAGAGAATGCAACAATACCACTCTCCCTATATCATGACCCATCAAACATGAAACGCCGCAGCAGCAACAGCCAACCCAACGGCCACAGTCAACTCCACGCTCAAAGAACCAGCTCCGCCTTCCGACTGCTGCGCCCCAGCCGCAGACGATGTGGCAGACGACGTCGGACTGGCAGATGAAGTAGTTGAGACCAAAGTCGAAGTGGACGTCTCACTCGCGCCCCCAGAAGCTGAAGCACTACCCGTCTCCCGTGGCCCATCGCAGTGCCAATGGTCGTTGTGCGGCTCACATCCAACCGACTCCGTGGGACTGGGAACTGTCGGCGTCGCAGTGCTGTCCTCCTCCTCGTGGTCGTGGGAATGTGTCGTTGTCACGGCCGCGGTGGAGGCGGGCCCGTCGCAGTGCCAGTGGTCGCCGTGGGGTTTGCAGCCAACAGACTCGGTGGGGCTTGGGGCGAGGGATTGCTCGCTGGTGGCGGTAGCGGTTCCGGTTGCTGGACCATCACAGTGCCTGTATACTGTGAGCTTGACTGAGTTGGATGTTTGGTTCGTGTCATACCAGTGGTCGCCATGTGGCTCGCAGCCAACAGAGGCTGTAGGTGATGGGCCGGGATCTTGAGCCAAAGCCGAGGCGGAGGCCAAGGCGAGGAGAGTCAATATGAAGTGTCTCATTCTGTTCAACGGGGACGATGAATCTGATAGACTGGCTGGAATGGGAAGACTCTGGGGGAGGAAAAGGAGGGATCGAGGGATTTATATGTGCCTGCCGGGCCGGACCCCCGCTAGTACTGTCCCAAGAGCATGTTTGATTAATGGTCTCTTGGCCTGAGTGTATATGGAATTGCCAAGCAGAGTGGAAGACCTTGGCGTCTTCAAGGTTCTCACTTCGTCGCCCTTGGTAGTAGCATGTCCTGCGCCTGCACCGGGGCTCCTCAACCGCTGAACATGCAATGTGGGAGCGATGGCCGGGCATCTAGTGATCTTGAGCACTGGGAAGTTCTGTGCAATTCCTGGAGCAAACTACATGCTGGATTAATTCCTGTAGCCGCAAACTGAAATGCCAAGGGCCAAGTCCGCTGAACAGTGTGCTGCCAAGGATGCTTGTGAGAACCTTGGAGACGATCCAGTCAATGGCACGGTGTTCGAACACATTGCGCATCTTCTTGCCTTTCTCGAGTTCCATAGTAGATGCTCCAGCACACCTTTTTGTGGATTTTAGTCAGAGTGTACTCTTGCGCAACCAGAATTCAAGTCAGATTGTCTCTGTCCGTGCCGACGATGGCATTGCAGTCATTTCTCAACCACACAGACTTCATCAGCATCATGATGCGATCAAGACATCATTCTGCATCGTCGCGCAGTCTGACTGTTATTCCTGACAACAATCTTGATGCCTGGTTGTGCCTCAGGATTGAACTCCGAACTCCGATCGGAGTTGATTTCCTTGGTTTAGAGATAACAACGAGCCAATGGAATCATCCAAACTTCAGCTGTGTAAGCAGCTTCAACCAATGAGCATCGGTAGCTGCTTATACGGCGTCAAAGGTACCTAAGCTATGGGCACGGATGATAACATCCAGGCCTGGCGTCAACTTTTCTCCTCTTATTAAACACGTCCGTCATCATTCCCTTCCTCTTCCTCCATGATCTCAACATATCCATATCATTACCAACAAAATGTTGCCCGAGACCAGGCAGGATCAATGCGAGGAAACTCCCTTGCTAGGCCACGACCACGCATTGGAGTCTCGCCGCTCCACACGCGCACGATGGATCCTCATTATCCTAAGCTTGGGCATCATCGCAATGAACTTTGGCAATTATCTGTCTATGGCTCCGCAGATACAAATATTCGAGTCAATCATCTGCCGGAAAATGCACCCGGAAATCGCACTGCTTACCAATGAGGAGCAAATTGCTGCCAGATGCAAGGCCCCCGATGTTCAGGGTGAGCTTGCGCTTGTCAATGGCTGGAAGGAGACGCTCGACACGTTGCCGGGGATTGTCCTGGCCCTTCCCTTTGGTCTGATGGCCGATCAAGCGGGACGGAAGACGGTGCTGATGTTGAGTTTGGTTGGCTTGATTATGGAGGAGGTGATGGTGCGGGTTATTTGTGAGTGACCTGTCTCATAGCTCGTTCCCTTGCTGACGGTGTACAGCGTGGTACAGCGCGTTCATTTCCCTACGGACGGTGTGGTTCATGCCGTTGTTCCAGATCTGCGGCGGTGGCGGTCAGATTGCCACATCTATGGTTTTGACGATGATCACTGATGTGTTTCCGGTGGAGAAGCGGTATGTTGATAGATCGGATGTTCCATGCTAGATTTTAATGGTTGCAGGGCGAATATCTTTTTTGTCGTTTATGCGTCAACACAGATAGCGGAGATCGTCGCAAGCCCTCTGAGTGCTTGGCTCATGTCCTGGACACCCTGGCTCCCGTTCTTCCTAGGAGTGTTCGTCATGCTACTCGGTCTATGCGCTTCCATATCAGTGCCAGAGACGCTGTCCAAGTCACACAAACTAAGTGAGACCGACACTGAAGACGATGAGGCGGATGGCGACGCTCCACGGACTGTAAGTCATCGTCTGAAGGCCGTCTTGAATCAAGCCAGGCACCAGATTATGCATCACAGCCGGTTCATTTTCGCCGAACGCAACATTGTTTTTATCTCAATTGCCTACCTGACGGCCACTGTGGCTAGCCAGTCGCTCCTCATCATGCTACAATACGTCTCAAAGCGCTTCTCGTGGTCCATGGCAAAGGTACAGTCCCTTCCTCCACTACTTGCCCTCTCTGACTTGAAACAGGCGAGCTTTCTCATCTCCTTGAAAGGGACCATGAATCTATTCACCCTACTCCTCATCCTTCCTGTCCTCTCCAAGGCCCTCGACAAATACCTCCCCCCAATACGCCGAGACCTGCGCATTTCCCTCGGCAGCATCCTCACCACCGCAGTCGGACTCGTCCTCATGGCACTCGCAGCCAGCCCTACAGTCTTTGCCGTAGGTTTGTCTATCTCCTCGCTGGGAGGAGGGTTCGTCCCCGCTCTACGCAGCGTCGCTACAGCATTGGTGGATGAGGCCGAAATGGGTCTTTTGGGGACGACAATTGCCCTGACGCAGGGTATTGGTGCGATCATCGCGGGGCCGCTGATGGCGGGCACGTTCAAGTTCAGCATGACGTTGGACGGGGTATGGCTTGGTCTTCCTTATATGACGGCGACTGCACTGGTGGTGATGGCTTGTTGGGCCACCTGGATGATTCGAGTCCCTCGGTTGGTGTCGCACATTGGATAGTACACGCATGATCGACTCTCGATACAGCTATCAATCATTTTAGATATAGAAATTGGAGCGTTATGCGCTTTTTAGAATATTGAGCAAAGATGCGTGTCGGGCTGTTTCTATCAAACTGGTACATCGGCTAGCAGAAGGGTAAAATGGGTAGACACCTTTCACCCCCTGATAGTGTCCTGTGTCGGTCTAATAGTGTATTTCAAGGCCAGGACCTTGAGAGGCCTCACTATTGGACTATCCAAGAATTCCCTGTACCACGATACCCCAAGAGACACGGAAGCTCTATCTGAGCGGAAATCTGATCCCATGGCAACAATCGTAGTTCTCTAGTTATGCACTCATGTACAAGTACACATAATTGATCAAAGGAAGAATGTATAAATCAACCACCGTATAAGCCACCACGGCTCCAGAGACATGCTCACAAGAAAGAAACCTGATTTTGTCAACCACTTTCTTCAGATACAAGTATCATCCTCCCCGAAGCGCAAGGAAGGGGACAAATACCGCTAGTAGGTTCGAACTCCTCACCATCTGCCATGTATGATTTTAATATACCAGTAGAGGGCCGGGAAAACAGAAGAGTTTACGCTTGATTTGACTTTGCTTCGCCACAAGGGATAATATGATGTAATAGTTAATTCTATGACGGCAAGATGAATCTTATCACCAAATTAATTCATTCAAGTTTAATGGCCGTGGCTGGCACCAGCGCGATCTTCGAGACATCGACATGCCACAGCCGTTGCCCGGCCACCCAAGTATAAACAATCCGACAAGGACGAAGACAAGTGAAATGGATTTCTGAGACCATAATGCCTATGGAAAGAATCATAAAAGCAGAATTGCCGAGTGCACACAAGCCTCAGTGTAAACGAGTGGTATTGTTTCTACCGGCTTAGAAGAGTCAAAAGCAAGGGATGCCACTGTTTCCCAAACAGGAAATGCGATACCCGCGTGCGGAAATCGCGATCATCTCCGGGCGACAATCACAACGATTTCAGCGGACGGCTCAGCAGCCTTGCTTTATCGAGTATGCGAGACAACAACACTGTTTTCAAGGCGTCTTGCTATGCTAAGAACCATTTATCGAACCATACCGCCACGGATTTCTAGGTGGTCTGAAATCACTGTGCCTATTCTGCTTCAACCTATCGAACATCCTTTGCAATTACGCCCAGTAAAGAACCAATACCAATAAAATGTCCCTCAGCGGCAAAGTTGCCCTCGTCACAGGCGGCTCCAAAGGCATCGGCAAGGCGGCTGCCCTACGCCTCGCCCAAGAGGGAGCCAGCGTGGCAGTAGGCTACTATTCCGACGCCGCCGGGGCCCAAGAAATCGTGGACAGGGTCGGCAGTGACCGGGCCATCGCGATCAAAATCCATGCAGGCAAGGTACCCGAGATCACGAGCTTCGTGGAACAGGCGGTCGAAAAGTTCGGCAAGATCGATCTGGTGGTTGCCGCGGCGGGGATGATGACGCTCAGCACCCTGGAGACAAACACCGAGGAGCAATTCGACGAGCTGTTCGCGCTGAACGTCAAGGGGCCGATGTTCTTGGTTCAGGTGCGTAATTTGACAATGGGTGTGGCTATGATTGACTGGGTGTAGAAAGCTGCGCCTCATATGGCGCCGGGATCACACGTCATCCTCTTCTCGTCGACTCTGACAGTCGTATCGACTGTTATGCCGAATTATCTGAACTATGTGTCGAGTAAAGGCGCGGTCGAACAGATGACTCGCGTGCTGTCCAAGGATCTAGGCCGGAAAGGCATCGCGGTCAACTGTATTGCTCCTGGTCCCACGCACTCGGAGCTGTTTGACCGCGTGCAGACAGAACAGTCGTTGAATTTCTTGCGCAGTGCAAATCCCAATGGTCGGATTGGAGAGCCGGAGGACATCGCGGGGAGTATTGTCTTTCTGTGCAGCAATGATAGTCGGTGGGTGATGGGACAGACATTGCGGGTTAACGGGGGAATGGCTTAGTTGGAAATGTTGTCGATGTTGATTGAGAGTAGGATAGGCCTGAACCCTATGAAGCTTTCCATCGAACCTCAGTTCTGTGTGGTTCTTCTCCACATTATATATCAGCTTGCAATTTCTCTGCAGTCTATGTTAACATTCTTGACAAAATGGAAGATAATGTGGTGACAATATAGTCATTGGATGCGGGAATGCTATTAAAGAAGATTCAATAGTGATTAAGCATGGAATAAGGCTTTCTCGATGAGTCATTTGGGACTCAGAGAGTCCGGAAGGTCGATTTTTCAACCAAATTCCTCTATCACGCAGTCGAACTTTACTCTTTATAACAAGAAGCATGCCTCAGTTGAGATAGTTCATTACAGTATCATCGAGGTCTTGCCGTCACAGACAAGCAAGAACCAGCTCAAACATCCACAGGGCATATGTACAGCATTTGGATGGACTCCTGATGGAACCCACAACCCACCTGTGAGCCCCACTCAATCATATTCCTCCAGGCCTCGCAGACTCAATAGGTATCGATGATCCGTCGGATACTATAGCCACTCCCACTCTCCATGCGAAACAATGTGGGATGATCCCCGCCTACTGTGTGGGACAGCGATGGTGGCACCATGACAGCACATCATTTCATTTGCCAGCATCTGTATCCAAGATGCGGGGAAGCTGGCCAGCTTGTAGCCGACAACCGAAAGAAAAATGTGTTCTACATGTCATCATTCCTCGCTGAGTGAGGAACCCGACCTTGGATATCTGCATGCACAGCGACATCAATATGGTAGGTTAGTCCAACCACGGAGTCTGGGATACTGACATTTCCAGCCCGAAACATCGCAAGCGGAGAGCCAGCCATGCCACGGAGCCTCAGTCCCAGACGTAGTCGCTATCGGCGAGGAACAAGAATCGTTGGCGAAGTGGAAGGAACAATGTGGCATCAAGACAGAGAAGCAGATCAGACTGGTGAAGCTCGCGCATATGCGCTATCAACATCCCGACCTTGATGCGATTACCGTATTCCTCCAAGGTCAGTCATCGTCATCGTCCTTATGCACGGAAGACCGGACTGAAGGGAGTAGATTTTGGCATGCAAGTGGCCAAAAAGACAGACGAGGAAGTGTGGTACCGAGGCTACGGAACGGATCCGTATGTCTACTATGCACGAAAAGGGCCGAAGGACTTTCTCGGAGGGACATTTGAGGTGGAATCGTACCGGGATCTGGAAAGGTGTCTTCACTCCCACTGATGAGACTTCAGGCTGCTAATAATGTACGCAGGGCTGCCGATCTGCCCACAGGCAGCACCATCCAAGAGTTGAAAGATGCCCCCGGAGGGGGCTTCATGGTCACCGTCAAAGACCCAGAAGGATTCCCAATCAATCTCATCTACGGTCAGACACCAGCAGCACCAGGCGAATACCCCTCCAAGCTCGTCGTCAACTACGAGTCAGACAAGCCTCGCGTCCGCCACTTCCAGCGCTTCGTCCCCGGCCCAGCAGCCGTCCACAAAGTACGTCTACTCAGCCCATCCTGACCATAGTGACTGACCGAACCAGCTGGGCCACTTTGGCCTTTGCGTCCAAAACTTCCGAGAAATGGTTACCTTTTACACAACAACCTTCAACCTCGTGCCCAGCGACTTCCTCTACGTTGAAAAAGACAAGCAGAAGAAACCTGTCGCTCTCTTCGCGCACATCGATCGCGGCGCTGAGTATGTCGACCATCACAGTTTCTTCATGAGCATGAATCCCACTTCGCACGTACATCATTGCTCGTTTGAAGTGCATGACTTTGACACGCAGAATCTGGGACACCAGTGGCTGGCGAAGAAGGGGTTTGAACCTGTTTGGGGCGTGGGACGACACATTCTCGGTTCGCAGATATTTGATTACTGGTGGGATACCACAGGGAACATGATTGAGCATTATGCGGACGGGGATTTGGTGAATGAGGAGACGCCCATTGGGTATGGGCCTGCGGGCGATGAATCGTTGGCCGTCTGGGGCCCGGAGGTGCCCAGGTCGTTTTTACAGTAGAGACTCTGGATCATAGTGACTTTCCTATTCAAGCTCTGGGATACTAGTTGCAACGAACAGACTGTTATTGCTTTCTTGTAGTACAATATTCCTCCAACTGGTGTACCGCCGCAAGGACTCACTTTGTCATATCTTCTCTAAACGTGCATTGGCCTATTAAAAGTTTTCATGAGATTATATCTGTACCAATGGAGATGCTCGCGGACAAGTGTTAGTGTAGAGCTACTCAAGGAGAGCCTACTGATCTATATTCCGATGACTGTCCCCAAGAAGACGAGTATATCTTTTCTTGTCACGGGCTAGAGATCAATCATTGTCTAATTGTGTCGGTCCTGTACCTTGGGGTTTATTCTCTCCTTGGTGTCCCAATCAGATTGCTTCAAGCACATGGTTGATCCCATCATTGCAATACTGGAATCACTACAGCCGACTTTGTGGAGTTCCCCTTTGTCCAATGCACACGATCCGGTCCATTAGCAGTGCTGCTCCCCTCTGAGACTCGTCACTTATCTTTCCAATCAGCTCATATACCTCCTGTGCATGCTTTCTCTCTCCTTCTCGGTCCAGCCGGCTGGCAAACTCCTCCAAGCACATGATATATTCCTCATTGTTGGCCTTGGCCCGTTCTGGCAGATCGCGATACTGGAAGAGTTGCGTCTGGACAAAGCCTTCGGTCCGCAGGTGCCGCGGGATATCCAGCGTCCAGTTGTTGCGGCCATCAGAATACGCAAACTGTCGCAGTTGCTCCATCGCGGGGAGCTGCTCGACCTTCACATTCGCCGAGATGATGTGTGCATCCCGATAGTTGAACTCATCCCACTGGATCCAGCCCCGGGGCTTCAGCAGGGTGGAGACTTTGCGGATCACCGGGATCGGATCACTCTCTCGGACCACCAGCATGAAGAACCGGAGGTGGACAACGTCGTATGCGCCCACCAGATCGGGCGGCACGTCGTCAAAGATATCCCATTGGCGCAGCGTGACGTTTTGGGGAAGCCACTCCGCTGGCGGCGCGCTGTCCAGACTGATATCCAGGCCGTCGAAAGTGGCGGTGGGAAGATCCCGGGCAAGTTCAAAGAGCCAGATTGCCGTGCCTGTGGCGACATCGGCTATTCGGGCGTTGGGCGGCACGGGAATCGAAGGATGAAGATTGAACTTGACACATTCTCTGAACAGATAATGCTGGTAGTTGAGGCGGGCGGTGGCTGAGTAGGTCCGCTCCAGCATATACGGCTTGCCGTTGGCCAGTTGGAAACCAGATCGTGCAGTGGAGTTGGCCATCATGGTTGTTTTCAACCCCGAGCGAGGTGGTTTTCAAGGTGAAAGAGGAGGTTGACTTTGGTGTTGTGCCAGACGCCGCGTGATCTCATCATGCCAGGCTGTCCTTGCAGCTCACCAATCTGAAAGAGGTTAGTTGACCAGCGGCGATTGCATGACTGCTGATTTGTCCATGATATACTATTTCACAGATTAACACCCTACTGTGAGATCTCAAAGTTGCCAGTATTGAAGAGAGGAAAGCTAATGGGAATGCCTGGAGAGTGACACCGTTGCATGATTCTTTAAATGGCTGCCAGCTTAATTATACTGCGTGAGGGCAATAGTACAGGAAGTACGTCAGCAGTTAATGCTATACATATAAATACATCAGCTTTGACCTCATCATCAAGATCTTTCATGTGCTATAGAGAACATGCAGGATGAATGGATGACTTAGGTCTAATAGTAGGCAAATCATTAGAAAAGGCCTCATCACACTAGTAAATTATCCTAGATGCTATGGCACCCTATTAGCTAAACCTTGCTATAAGGATAGTAGGCATATCCTGCTCCTACTCCTACATAAGCAAAGCTAAAGGTCTTTTGCGTCACATAACCCATTTCCTCTGATACTTTCTGCTGCATTTGTTTCCTTTAGATATATATACTGCTACTGTTAGTAAAGTATAACAGGGGTACAAAAAGTATATAGACTCTAGCTTGAATATAATAATAGAAAGAATTGAACATGCGCTAAATACTAAAAGGAGTGACAGTGCTGGTGCCCACAGTGCCGGCCTCCTTCATGAGGGAGCTATATATGCTGACAGAACGTGTCGCTTGTAAATTGACTTGGGGTGTGAGATGGAATCCAAATCGGTAGGACAAATGGACGGCTCAGTTAAAGGCTGCTCTTAATAATGGGGTGAGATCCTCGATACCTGCATCGGATTGTATACCACTGGATTCGTGGTCAATTTCGTCACTCGTGTTGAAGGGATTGATGACTTACATCCCGTGCTTGCGAAACCGTCTCTCTCTGGTGTAAACATGTCGGTGGCGCCCTTTGTCGAGAGATCCCTGACCAGACTCATTTCCCTCTCGGCTGGACTCATCGAGCTGTGCTGGAGTTGGACCTGTAACAGGCTGTTTATTCAGCCTTTGTCTTTCATATGACTGTTGTTGGAGTTGACTGATTAGCAGAACAAGAGCTAGAAATCCATGGATGACCTCGTCGTCTCTGTTGCTCTGCCTCTCCATCCCGATATTCTCTGTTTCAAGACCATGCATCCTTTGCTGGAGTGAGGCAATCACGGTCTCCAGCCTTTTATTGGTGCCCCTCAGACGTTCACAGTCTGCTCTGGACCGTTGGAGACGAGTGGATAGCATACTCATCTTCCACCGCATGACAATGTACCGCATGAAGGCAATGCGTCCGGTTCTGTTGGAATCTCGGATCTGAGAGTAAAGCGAGGCATTCTCTTCTCGCAATTCATTAAGTTGCGTCTGACTAGAGTCATGACTCGCTAGGAGATCCTTGTTTCTTATCTTAAGCGTAATGTGCTGTCTTTGCAAAATGTTGTAGTTCATTCTGACAAGAGAAATTCGAGTGGACAGAAATCGAATCAGGTTCTCTGCCTCCAATTTCTCCTTTTGTTCATTCTCCAATTTGTCGCATCTGCTTTTGAGCTCATCAAAGCCTGCCTTGGTCCGGCGCAGATTTCTGAGTGACACTATATTCCTCCAGCGAAGGGCAATGTAACGTGTCGTCAGCTGCAGTACTCTCGCCTTTGAGTATCGAATTTGAAACATGTGGATGGCATTCGTTTGTTGGAGCGAATAGTGGCGAGTGGAAAGATGCTTGAATTGAGATCGAAGTGATGCGTTGTCCGTCTCCAAGTCCCCATACTTCATTTCCAATTCCCGAACAGTTTCGTGAGCTCGATTCAGATCATGGTTGCTTTGCGCCTCAGCCTCTAAGGCCTTAGTTGTTTTTGCTTTTTCCTCCTGCAGTTTAGTCTCTAATTCGTCGTTTTCCTTTTGTAACCTCTCATAATCCACGCGCAAATGGCTTTCCTTCTCCTGTGCCACGCGGAGTTTGTTTTCCATCAAAATGCAGTAACTTTCCATTTCTTTCTTCTGGCAAGTGATTTTTTCCCCCTTCTCTTCGAGTTCCGCTCTGAGATCTTGGATTTTATCAGCCTGCTCTGTCTGAATTTCTTCGGCTTTTTTTTTGGCCCTTTCCAAGCTCTCAATCTTATTGCGAAGACGGCTTATCTCTTGTTCATGCTGGCTCTCGATCTCCAACCGAGAACTCGCCTCGCTTTCGGACCTTCTTTTGACCTCTTCCAACAAATCAGTGGCTCGGTTTAATATCTTCGACGTGTCAAGGGTACGATTCTCCTCAGGTGTCATTCTGCCATCATCTTGCGGGTTCTCCAATCTAGTCTTATCAGGACTTCCTCCAGTGACGCTGCACACGCATTGTTTCGGACATGGACCTGGCAACTCTGCCTGTTGCTTGGTCTGGCTGTGTGGTCTTCGAACCGTATTGGTGGCTTTCGAACCGCGGCTCGCGAAAGAAGAGCACTCCTGTGTCGGGGTACCTCTCGTCAATGAGGTGGAAGGGACTGGACCTCGACTGCGCGGAACCGATGCCCTATTCTTCGGGCTTGCGGGAGGAGACGTGTCGCTGGATATGGCTGTGTCAACGGACACAAAGGATGAGGAAGAGGAGGCATTCGAGGATGCGTTTGATAATGTTCGCTTCAGTTTGTTTGAGCAGGGCATTTTGGAACCACAGCCTGCGGGAATGCCCAAGGGAACTCGATAGCTGGAAAATGTGTATAATCTAGGTTATCCTCAAGATCTTCAGAGACGATGACTCCGGGTTTCTTAGAAACTTATCTGTTACCTCTCTTTGCATCTCAACACAGTACAGAGCGATGAGACTCCTCCTGGCGCAGTCATCGGAGGGTCCCCCGGATGTGTAGGAGGAGCCATGATTCGAGCGGTGCCTGCACGAAAGACGCCACGCTGAGTAGCGATTGGGCTTTTGGTAACACCCTGGCTATTCCCCATCCCGCGTGATTGACTTTAGACAGACTTGTCGAGGCATTATATGATTTGCTAATCTCCTATCATCATCTCTCCATTGTTAAAATCGGGAGGAGTTGCTTGGCTTATGAGTGGTCATTACCCAACTTGATCTGCATTCAGGCTGAGACTTGCATCGAAAAACACTCCCTCCCATACTACAGCGAATAAGAAAATTATTGAGCTCAACAGTAACCCCGCGTAGTCAGTGTGCCGGAAGATCCTTCCCGTCAGACGAGCACATTCGCATGTTAGAGACGCCGAACACCGATGTATCTGGGCATGATAGGGCTTGCATACCGTGATGCAAGTGGCTTGCTTCCACCTAGGAGTGTTGAAACTATTCGATGCTCATTGGCGTACAGGCTCATCGTTTTGATATTCGTAGCCTCACTTGCATGATCTGTCTCTGAAAGTTGAATTTTGGTCCGGAACCCGGGGCTGAGCAGGCACAGGAGACGGTTTGTTGCCAATGAAAGGGAGCCATAGTGATAGAAGCTTGTTGACACACAGCTTCTTGCTGCTCAGTGCAAGCAGAGAGGCTCAAGCACCAGAACGAGATTACCCGGTTATATCTGTCGATATGTTCTTCATGTACCAATCATATCTCAAGAAATGCGACGGATATACAAAACCGATGATTGAATATACCTGGTTTTCAAAGGCCAAGGTGTTCCACTCCAGTTCTCAATAGAAGTTCTTCTATTTCCTTATGCCCCTTGGAACTGGCAAGATCCAGAGCGGTTCTTCCAGCCTTGATCTTCACCCGATAATCCGCTCCTGCCCTCAACATTGCTCGCAGCTCGCACAATCTCAATGTGATTCTCACTCGTGGCAACATGCAGTGGGGTCCACCCGTCATCCTACGGCTTGTTCGGGTCTGGTCCCGAGTCAAGCAGGAACTGCGCTATAGTCGTCCGGCCATGGCTCACATCAATATTCAACGGCGTCCATGCAGTCTTCGACTTGGCAAGACGTCAATCCTCTTTTCAAAGAAAATCTTTACCATTTCAAGTTGATCCTTTTCCACTGCGCCATGTAACGCCGTCCAGCCGTTATCATTGGCAGCCCTCATATCTGCACCGCGTGAAAGAACTGTCTTTACCGTCTCTGGATAGCCTTCACGCGCTGCAACTCCCAGAGACGTCCATCCACTATTATTGCGTGTCTCAATATCCGTCTTTCTATCCAGTAGCGCTTCTACCACTGCTGAGTGTCAATCTCCGGCAGCGGCGGTTACCGGACTCCAGCCGTCATCAGTACGGGAATCGACAGACGTGCCGTGTCTCAGCAGCAGCTTCACCACCTCTAGATGCCTATTGCAGGCTGCTGCAGTCAGAGGGCTCCGAACGTCCGACTTCCGGGTTGCTGGATTCGCCTGCCGCGAGTAGAGCTCGTACAACTTGGATATGTCCTCTGGCGGATGCAGTATGCAAGGGAGTCCATTAGTCCTTGTTTGCCACGTTGACACCTGCACCGAGTTCGACGAGGAGCTCAACGATAGCGTGATGGCCGCTCAGTGCCGCGGAGTTAATTGGAGTGGCGCCTCGTGAGTGCAGGTCGGCCTGATCCGCTCTTTGCTTGAGCAGCGCAATCGCGTTCTCGAGATGGCCTTCAGTCGCGGCGCTGTTCAAGGGTGTCGAGCGCGTTGAATCAGGAATTGTGTGACCCCTGCACCTTTCTCAAGGAGCAATTTCACAACCCTGAGATACCGCCGCCGCCTTGAGTTGAGTCCAGTTATTGACCCCCGCAGGCTTGGAGGTATCCGCTCCGTAGTCAAAAGAATGCTGACCACATCAGTGTGGCCCGTCTGGGCTGCAGCATAAAACGCCGTTACGCCGTCGTCAATTATAGCGTGGACGTCCGCCCCGCGGTTCACTAGAGCCTTGACGATCTCCGCATGGCGTTCTGAGGCAGCCGATGCCATTGGGGTCCATCCATTGGTATTAGGTATGCCTAAGCCCGTCCCTTGGCCCAGCACGTACTTTTCGATATGCAGTTGCCCACTATTAGCTGTCGCGTTCAGCGGCAATGCTTTGGATGTGTCCTGTCTGATACGTTCACTCCATGTTCGGCAAGCACCTTTACCGAGCCTAGGTGATCCAGCTTCGCGGCGAAGGAGATTGGGGATTGCTGTCGACAGATGGGACATCTGGATCTGCCCCGTGGTGCAGGAGGACAAGCACTGCGTCCGCATGACCGCATGTAGCGACTGCGTTGAGCGGGATGAAGCCGCCCTCGTTGCCAGATGTGTAGCCTGCACCGTTCTCGATCAGGTACTCTCAATGCTCTGTATGTCCCGAGACGGCAGCTGAATATGCAGGTGATTGCCCGATCTCACCAGTGGAGAGGATGTCCTCTCCAGCTGCTACAAGCCTTTTGATTTCATCGGAATCCGCCTCCCGGGTTGCCGCATTGAACGGAGATGGTCCGGGGATATCTTCTTCGGACCCAGTCTCGTCATCGAAGGCCATGTCTTGTGTCTAGGAAAGAGTAGGAACAGAATCATGCCATCTTCTTGGTTCATGGAATTTGACAGCGGTGACACGGACACCAACGTCTAAAATGACTCTCCGGAATCGATTCGGCTTTCCATGCTGACAATAATTACCTGTCCTTCAGTTGCTTCCCCGCTAGACACGCAAGAGACCTTCTTCATAGACTGTACGACCACCTCGACATCGTTAATCTCAGTGTCCAAGACAACGAGCGACGATTGCTTTCCTTGGGCCGGTGCATCTCGTCGAAGCCGCATGCACCTCGCATGAAATCAGTTTACCCATTCCCAACCATATATTTGATCCGTTGGGCCATGAAAACAAGACTTGCGTTTTCGTCATAGTCGCACCCGCCTTCAAGGCCTTCCGTGGGGTTCCAGACGGCGGCGACACGAAATAATCGCATTGATATGCAAGCCTAATGACCTCGAACAACATGCGCTTCTGCCCGCTCTTAACCACAGGCTGCAGCTCTTGCTTTTACCGCTGGAGTGTAGCTCGGCTAGTGTCGAATCACTCTTCATACAAGTCCACATCCCAAATTGGTAGAGGGATGCGTCATTAGGGTGGACGAATCGGTCGTCCAGGTAAGCGTGGTTTCATCCAGGACTGGATATATGATTCAAGTCACGTGCGGTGTTTGAGATTGCTATGTCGCCATCTGGGACTTGGTCACGAAGAAGACTCAAAGTGAACGAGATAATCTAGCGCAAATTATTTCTGTAGTCATGGAAATCTAGCCGGATACACCTCGTGGTAGGATGCTTTCGATCAATCGAGCTGCCCGCAATTGATAAAGGATCCATGTCTCAATTCTTGGTAGCTTTCCTCTGATACTTTCTGCTGCATTTGTTTCCTTTGGATATATGTACTGCTACCGCTAGTGGAGTACAACAGGGGACAAAAAGCATAGACTCCAGCTTGAATACGATAAATAATGGAAAGAATTGAACATGTGCCAAATCCTAAAACGAGTGACTCAAGTGAAGTCTCTAAGAAGAAAAAACCATTCGAATGAGAACAGCTATTTAGGTAGACTGTTCCCCATATCTCTCCCAACAATCACCGCTTACAGCATGACCATGCCCACTCCAGTCAGAAGCGCGGTGATGGCATACACACCCAGCTCGAAAGAGCCAACAGTCACTGCAGTGCCGCGCGTAAGAGCAACAGCCGCACCGGAAGAGCTAGTCGATGATGCAGACGAGCCGGACGAGTCAGCGGTGCCGGTGGGCTTGGAGGTGACGGTGCCGGTGCCCGCCGTGCCGGCCTCCTTCATGAGGGAGCTGCAGGTACCCGTCGCCTTGGTGGCGGAGGTGACGGTGGCAGAGCCGCCGAAGCTACAGGCGGAGGCAGCAGAGCTCTGCTCGGAGTAGTACTTGTTGAGCAGGAAGTTGAGCTGCTGCTTGGGGGTGCACATGCCGTAGGCGCCGAAGCTGCCTGTGGTGGCGTTGCGAGCGATCCCGGTGCAGTCGGTGTAGCCGCAGATAAGACTGAAAAGGTCGCTGTAGTCGTCGCTGCTGACGGAGTTCTTGACAACGCAGGAGGCGGCGTTGCTCATGCAGGTGCAGAGCTGCTCGTTGGGGGTAGGGGGAAGGGGGCTGGCGGTGGCAAGCCACTTGCTGTTGACGGTAGGGCAGCTTTGCAAGGCCGTGTTGGTGGGGGTGTAGGAGGCCTTGTTGGTGCCGGATGGGTTGGCGTTGTTGTTGATCTGGCTGGAGTAGTACTTGAAGTCGGCCATGGTGCTGACGCTGGTGCTGTCGACGGCGCTGACCAGACCTGGACGGATCAGTTACGGTCAAATGACTGGATCGGGAGACTTACCGTAGTTGTTGGACTCCTGGAAATACATGTACACGATACCACCCGACCAGACATCGTTCATCTTGTCGCCAAACAAGGCCTCGATTTCGGTGAACTTGCGGGGAGTGACCTCGTTGCAACCATACTCGGCGAAGAAGACAGGAACGGAGTAGTTGCTGAACTCTTCCGTGCGGACGTCGTACCCAGACGTGGTGTAGGACGAATCACCGCACCAGGAGTAGATGTTGTATCCCCAGAAGTCGATAGACTCGTCACTTTCCTCGCAGTTGAAGTAGTCGGCCATGTTGACACGGATGGTCGAGTCATCGTTGGTCGCGTAGCCGACTCCCATCGAGCGGTATCCCTTTTCCTTAATGTACGCCTTCATGTCCCGCACCGCCGCCTTGACGAAGGCACTGGCATCGGTGGTACCGACGGTGTTGGAAACTTCATTGCCCGCAAAGAAGCCAAGGGTGTTGTTGTACGGTGCCAGGGCGTCAATCACGCTGGTGTAGCGGTTGTAGAGCGTGGTCTCCCAGGAGGGATCACTGCGGTCAATCGAGTCGGACGGGTCAGAGAGATCGGAGATGACATAGATGCCAGCATCGGCCAACATCTGCATGCACTCTGTGTGATTGGCGGTGGGATCGATGGCGTAAACACGGATGGTGTTGGTATTCAGCTCCTGGAAGATGGGAATGTCACGCTTGCACAGCGTGGCATCCGACAAGGGGTCGATGTAGGTGCTGCTGCCATCGGTGGTGCCATTGCTCGAGTAGTCCTCTGTTGAAGTTAGTTTCATGTGAGGGGTGTAGGATGCCAATAACGTACGTTGGTAGGCAATACCGCGGATGTAGCTGAAAGATTTAGTACGAGTCCAGACATCTAGATATACGGAAAGTCCTTACAATTGAGTGTTGTTGCTGGAGTAGAAGAACTTGGATCCCTTCTGAAAGTTAGTATCTCATTCTTCAAGAGGATGCAAGAGAAATACCTTGATGATGATAGGGTCAATGTCAGCCAGAGCAGTACCCAAGAGGCCAGCCCCAAGGAGAGCGTGAGAGAACTTCATAGCGTCGAAACCTCTCCTCCTCTCAAATCAAATGAAACAGTCGTGGATATTAATGAAATCAACTACTGAGTAACGAGTGACAAGAAAGTGCAGTAGGGGAAGAAAACGAATGAACAAGCACAGAAGATGTCCAGGAGGTCGACCGACCCGGGAAACAGAAAGCTATAACAACGCCCACGAAATTGACATCGACACACCCGTCGTGAGCTATCCTCGAGAGAGGGAATTATTATTAGCAGCCTGCCTGACAAAGGGGGTACTGTTCACCCCCGTCGAGTCGGTCGACCTTGTTTCTGCTTCTGCGATGCCATCAACGGCCCCGCTTTGGTCATTGAACGCGTCAACACTGCAGTAAGCCACTGCTGGTCCGGTCCCTAAGCGAGGCGCCGGCAAAATGAAATGCCAAAGGAGACGATAGTCCGGACTCCATCCAACGTCCAGTATTGGTTACTAAATCCGAGCTAGAGATTAGAGTTGACCGAGAAGATGCCACTATTGTGAAGGCGGGTCATGATGGACTAATTGAGCTGGAGGCTAGCATTATTAGCGGATGCGCGATTCAAGAGTAGGATATCACTGAGGAATCGAGATTTTACTCACTCTGAGTGGTCCTCCATCGCCTTTCATATTATTTGAGCAGATCTTGACCAAGAGTTGATTCTGTGTTGAGAGTTGAGATAGTTCGTGGTGAGTATGTGGGTTGGTTCTGTCGGAGGGCTTTATCTCCGAACGAGAATGTTCCACCGTCGGTCTTAGTCTTACAGTGGAGCGCACTTTCAGCAAAATAGAAATGCTCATTTAAATTTGGCCATGCATACGCCATTGAGTTCAAGCTTTGTGGATTTGCAGCCTATTGATGGTAGCCTGATTTTGATTCGGTATTCTAGTCTAAAGCAGGCTTGATCGTCATCGATGATTCTTAATTCCTGGTGGTTTAGGGAAATAGTCGTCTCCGATGAATCTTGGACGACTAGGGCATCGCGACACATGGTGTTATATGCTGTATCAGGCTTCTTTGAGTATTGAAAGCACATACTTGATTTGATGTCTTTTAGATTGACTGTCACTGTTGGATTTCATGATATGGACAAGCTGTAGAGTCCAGTCTTGTAATGTACAATCTCGCTAGAAACAATTCATCGCACGTGTCCATCCTGCATAATTCATGTCGCAAATACCAATCCTAAACACCAGAGGCCCCGTCATGTAACCGATTCCAATCCCAATATATCACATTTCCCGACGACGAGCCTCAATGGCGGCTTCGAACGATCGGATTGTATCTAGCGGTCGCTCGAGACGGTTCCGTGTGGGATTTGACCGGTCGGGATCAGCTATATCTCGTCAGCATCGATGATTCGGATGCGATGAAGCCAGGAAAAGACGAACTGATGATGTTTCCATCTTTGTCGCGGTGCTGCATCGATCGCAGGGAGAACATGGGACTGCCTGATACTGCCTGGCTGACTTCCCTGATTTTTAGTATATATCCATCACAAACAGATACGAGGCAACCGACTTGGTTGAGCTTCATTCAAGGCCTGATTGGGATCAGCTTTGCTGGACAGAGTAGCCTTCTTGTAGCTCTCCCGCGAGCCGATGGATCCGGCGCGGTCGCTGGATGAGCGCGAGGAACGAGAGAATACCATAGTGAGGGAGAAGCAATATGCGGGAGCGACTGAGATTTAGACAATAAAAGATAGTATTATTGATGGTTTGATGAATGTGGAGATGAAACAGCAACTAGAGGTGTCAAGTTGATGGCACTACTGTGGTCTAAGTTGCTAAGCCTGAAGAACCAGGCGAGCAGGCGCCATATAAATGAGGGCCAATCCCGGCACTCGTGCCTGAGTGCCTCAGGTACGGTACGCATTCCATTTTTAGAAGCGGAATGGCCTGTGACGCTTCTTGCAGCGCAGATGGTGTGACTGGGTGATTTGCTCAATGCAACCACTGACATGTGCCTCGATCCCTCGAATAGACGCGGAAGCAGCCAAGTCGCCATGACGTTGTCTGGTTCGAGGAGGGGAATTGTTTCACTCGCACTGGATCTCTGGAATGCGAATGGTCCAAAACAGGCCAAGCTTTGACTAGGAAAATGGGGCCACGTAAGCACAGGGGCTGAGGCGGTGGCAACTGCAGGAACACCCGGAGACAACCGGCCAGACTCTGCTCCCACGGTAGGCATCAGCATTTGAATTCATCTCCTTCCTGTTCCTGACATGAAGATCTAAGACAAGAGAATGTCAGTCTCAAAGCTCCTCACACGGCTGTTCACTGACAGAGCATGTGATCTTCTCGTTTCGGCATCACCGGATGCTTTTGGTCCGACTCGCCAAGGAACCTGAAAAATGGGAAGTTGGACTCCTCGGGGCATGTAATCTTCCCGAACCGTCTTGGGAAGTTACCACCAACGACCCGATGAAGTTATGAAGCAGACATGATCAAAATCAGACTCTCATTGGTTGCAAAACTAATGTTGCCTTACAGGCAGGGCCCTCAAATGACTATCTCATGGTGGCTTATAATGACACCCATTGCGTCTCATATTCTATATAAACGCATGATTGTCTCTGGGACTAGTTGATTGATATTACTATGTTGCTACAGAGGCAGCTCATATTCACCGATCGTGGATAGTAGTGAATATATTAGGGACGGGGAATGCTGAGAGACATGCCAGACATTATAAGAGATCCTTCAGCTTTCGTGAGACGTAGCGAGTCCCCTATCATGAAGAGATTGAAGAAATTGTATGGACACGGGGGAGGTGCTCATCCACGCCATGATTTAATCCATGGCGCAGTACAGACCTCGTTAGCTTCTTGCAATGTATGCAGGGAGGGGCAGGTAGCTCAACGAGTATCTAGTGCTACTTTCTTGGAGGCGGACCTGGCACCAATACAGTATAATAGCTGTGGAAAGTACTGTGAGCTTTACAGATTGGACAGAAGTAACCACGCAGTGCATATGGGGCCGCTCATGCAATATATCATTTTGTGTGTTATTTGCACTGGGTGACTACTGCTAATGAGCGCTAAGAGAGACAACTATATTTTGCTGAATAATTTCATTTTGATTATCTGTTGGTGCCTTGGAATCCAGCAGGATGTGTCGTTGTCCAGGATGAATCAATTCCATATCTATATCGTACCTAGGTAAGTACCATCAATAGAGGTAACAATATGTCGGCTCACAACAACAGCAAGAGGATTGCTATATAGTTCCCTAATGTAATATGTATAAAGTGAAAACTTCAGACCATGGTATGAATCATGATCAAGTCTATGACAGGATTCTTCGTAATCAACCACAAACCAGTCATGAAGATTTTTTCTCCTCGATTTCAACTCGATTTCACAGTTGAAATCGATCGAGATTCCCTTCCATACTCATACCCAAGGGGTTCAGAGAGTGAACTGATACAATGGTGTTCAGTAGCCTTTGCCTTTGGCGCCAGAAGCCAGAGTCTGCGATGGATCCCCTCACCATCGCGGTAGAGAAATGGGAAAGGAATATACAGAAAGCCAAGAGCCCCAAGGACTACCTTCCTTTCCTGCTGTCCGACCTGGAGTTTGTCGAGAAAGCCAGGATCCTGTACAAGGTAGCGACTCAGAAGGGTCTGCCAGATCATCTCTTCGAGCACCCTGATGGCGCTGAGAAGATAGGATGCCAGCTTCAGCGTGCTGGCCAGTCTGACCTCACTCGTCTTCTATGGTATTTTCAATTCCACCAGAAGAAGCCTAGTGAGAATGTCATGGGCTGGTGCGCTGCTATGATATTATATGATTCTCTCAGCCGATGGCTCGTTCAGAGGGACATCCGTGAGCGGGAAAAGCTGCGCTCCAAACAAAAGGAGCTCCAGCTGTGTACCTCGCCTGAGGAGCGCGCAGAGCTTGAATCGGCCATTGACAAGATAGAAGAGGGCTTTAAGGATGATGCAGATCTCTTCCAAGAATTGTACCGCGACCTGTGGCAGCTACAGGAACACATGCCATCGGGACCCCTGCGCCGGGCCTTTTTGGCCTGGCGATCAACTCCAGATTGGTACTTGTGCGACTGGCTTCGGCGTGAATGTGCCAGCCGTGGAGGCTGCTGTGGGAGGAGCTGCGGTTGTTGCGAGAAGCCGCGCGACACCGAGCGGGTGCTCAACCGGGGCCACTGTACTCCGGCGCGTTCCTGTTGCGCTCAGACACATGGGGAAACAGATGACGCCTTCGAAGAGAAATTGGACGAGCTGGAAACTTTCTTCGTCGAGAAAGACAATATGTATGCTCGCCGATTGTGCCGGGCGTATATCTGGGGTACGGATGTACTCAACGAGATTGAAGACGAGGAAGAGTTCAACTGGGAGGCATGGTTACATGCTAATAAAGGCAGGAGAGTCGAAAAAGAAATGGAAGCTGTGGTGACCTTTACTGCTGATTGAGACCCTTACAGGCTTCTTCTTTCTGGTTTGCTCGCTTTTGCTGGATTATCCTGGATTTATTGAGGAGTGATTGAACACTTCTCTTGCTAACTAGGAACGGTGGCTTCCTTATATGTCTTCATTGTCCTCTTTTCTCCATAATTCCAACCTCATTGTAGTTAAGCCAGACAAAGCAGTGGTCATCAAGGAGTCATAGCTGTTGGAAGTGCTCTTCACATCCCAAAGGTTGTCAATCTGCCGTGCTCACAGGGTCACAGTTTCGTCTAGGCGCCCTGCTTCGAGGACAGTGTCCAGCTGCATCTTGAAAGGTTGCGCATGATTTGTGACCATATCAGGAATCTTCGATTCATGAATATCTACTTACCAGAACGTCGGAAGAAAAGAAACCCTGAATGTCAAAATGGCTTGATGGTCGAAGTTATACCTCATCACCCCACCTTTCCAGAAGAGTAAAACTGTCTGATTTGATCAATCACAAATCGAGCGTCTTCCAAAGTCAAGGCAAAGTATATCGGCAGGCGAACAAGGCGCTCACTCTCCCTAGTCACCACATCTTCATCCATAACATGCCGGTGTTTTACACCAGGACCTCTCGTATGAAGAGGACTATAGTGAGGCAACACACTAATCCCAACCCCCTTCAATGCTTCCATGAGCTCCCTTCGTTCCGCCACATCTCGGACCTTAATCCAGAACATACAAGCGTTATGCTCACAATGCGGCGGTAAAGCCGGCAACTGGATAATCCCCTGAGTCTCCAACTCCTCCAACTCCTTCCAATAGAGATTCCAAATTCGATGGCGCTGGATCTGAATCGCCTCTACACCTTCCAGCTGGCCCCACAGGTATGCCGCCTGCAGCTCACTGAGGATATAGCTCGCCCCGACCAGCTGCCACGTATCCACGCTTTCATCCGTACTCCGAAACGACGCGTCGTGCATCATGCCTCTATTCCAGATAATCTCCGCGCGCTCGATCAGCGCCGGATCATTGACGAGGAGAGCACCGCCCTGTCCTCCGGACGTGATATTCTCACCGTCATGAAAACTGATACATCCCAGCTGCCCCATCGTCCCGAGGGCACGGTCTTTGTACGTGGAGAAGAGTCCCAGCGCCGCGTCCTCGACGATGTATATCCCCCGTCCTCGCACAATCTCCTGGATCGCGTCCATGTCACATGCGAAACCGGCGTAGTGTACTGGAACCACCACGCGCGTTCGATCAGTTATCGCTTCCTGAAGTCGTTTCGGGTTTATATTCATAGTCTCCGGGATGATATCCAGGAATACCAACGATGCACCGCGGAGTAGGAATGCGTTTGCGGTCGATGGGTGCGTGTAGCTCGGGAGAATAACCTCATCCCCCGGTTTGATATCCAGGATCAATGCGGCGAGGTCGAGAGCAGCGGTGCAGGAGGGTGTCAGGAGGACTCTCTTGCAGGAGAGGTGTTGTTCTAACCATGATTGGCAGAGACGGGTGTATCGGCCGTTGGACGTGAGGGTGCCGTTTTGGATGGCGGTGTTGATATAGTCTATTTCGGAGCCAGTCACGGCGGGGATGTTGAAGGGGATTAGCTTCTGGTGTTTTGGGGGGCTTATAATGGGCATGTTGATGGTTGTCTCTTATGTTGTGAACAGAGATGGAGAATGTCGTCTGTTCTTCAGCAACGGAGTGATGATGTCAAATGAATCATAGCTGCGTGCGGTATGGAGACGAATCCATGGGTGGCCAGAAGCTTAACAACAACTGATCTAATTATAAAGTGCAATGTTCCCTGGCAACTAAAGATCAATACATCTGAGCAATAGGGAGACTTTTTTTTCGTAGAAAAGTAAGGATGCTAGTGATCGCTCAAGTCTCGTCGGTCCAACCTCATTCATTACCTGGAAGACCATTCATGACGCCAACGTTCCTGATCGTCTCAAGGTCGACTTTCTTGGGAATGCTTTGACCGTCTTCAACGATATTCTCTCTCCTGGAGCAAGGCGTTTGCACTTGTAAAAAGTTGCTTGCTCTGTATCTAAATCAGACCTTTGTGGATGGTTTGGCTGATATTGCATATCGTCAAGTCTTTATGCGAGTGGACAACCGCCTATACGCTTAGCCTCCAAAGAACGAGACATTACGTTCCAAAACTTGTTTTGGCCCGCTACAATAGACACTCTCTTTTTGATGTAGAATGACACGATTTTTTTAAAATGAATCGCGGGAAATTCATATTGGAGCCCTTGAGGGGAACGCCTAGGGCCTTCGAAATGTGCCCTTATCATCTTATTTGGACTTGGACTCGGTTAATTTGATGGTGGAAAATACCATCAAATAAATCAGCACTGGTTTAGATGTATATTTAAAGATATGCTTTGCTTGACCGATACAGCTGTGTTTTTCCCTATTCGCTGTCCGGAAACTCGAACAAGCGTTCTCAGAGTCAATCAATATTTACCAGCTAACCTCACTTGATATTGGCGAGAGTATTCGAAACTGAACCTGCAAGAAATGTTCATTATGAATGATGTACCGTTCTCAGACCCTTGCCACATATTCAGACGGAATATCCGCCAATCTACGTGCTGTCTGAAGCAATCACGTCAAATAAGATAACAAAAGAACTAATATTCCTAAGTATCCGAAGTAATAGCTGATGACATGTTTTGGGCTGTCGCTCTTCTGTATCTCGTACTTTCTTCGTCAAGGTCCTGATACCGATCTTGAGCATGATGAACGACTAGGACAGTGTCTGTGAACTTGGCCAAGGTGCGAGAAAGACAGTTCGAGCTATTACATCCCTTGATTGTGTATGGTAACGCATTTTAATGGATTCCTGGTCAGGCATTGCCGTCGTTAGTCTCAAGCAAGGTCAACCACAAATCCGAACCTCTGGAAGATGGATTGATGCCGAGGGCTCGACGACAAGATGAGATGACCATTAAATTTTAAGATTATAGGACGAGAGCTTGGGTCCGGGCATTCCTTCACACCCGTACAGCCAACGACTGAGCTGACCTGCCCAGATTCTCGACGGACCACGGAAGGGCAGGCTCCCGGATCATGTCTCAGGTCCCATTTGCCAATTTCGAAAGACTTTTAGCAGAAGTTTCTTCACCGGCATCCATGAATCTGACAGTACACATCATGGAATACCGGGAATTGGCATGGCTGACACGGTTTCCGCTGTGCACCTCGTTGACTCATGCATCATCCCACACTTTCCCTCGGCACGACCCAAGCTTTGTAATGGGTTTGCGAAAAGAAGAGAGGAATGACGGGAAACGAGCACTCTGGAATCCGGACAGCGTAAAAAGGAACTAAGGCATGGGTGAACCACTCCTGTGCCCATAATATCTCCGTATGCTTGGGCCGTCTGCTGACATCGGACTTCTCCCGTCTTTTACTTCCCGTGCGGCGCCCTGAACCGTCGGCGCAGCTTACAAGAGGGGTAGAACCTTTGAAGCTTCAATTCAAAGACGTCCAATTACCGTGATAGGTATCCGTAGATGTTAGCGCATGCAGTCCGGAAGATTCTACCATGAGGTCCACTGTCTACGTATGTCGTGTCTACCCGGCTATTCACCGGGGAAACTCTTGTGTAGCTGGAGTTGTGGGGTAGGCCGGCACGAATGCATCTCTTGGGACCTCACGAGGTCATCTTATTCGGCCCCGCAAGAACTGGAAGACGCTAGAGCAATGATGGCTAGGACAAAGGTGCGGTTAGCATGCAGTCCCGAAGTGCGGGGAAGCCATGGACGGATGTCATCAAGCGTACACTCGGCGTTCTATTATACTTTTATGTAATTTGGGCCGAGTCGCATGTTACCATGTGGACTTCTTCGGTGAGACTACTTGTAAAGCCGACTTACCTGACGGGGGATAAGAAGGATGTCCAGCTGAAATCCCGCTGCGTGGATGGTTGCAGACGTATTTCACCAGGCAGATGATATCGAGATCAATGCACTGATGTATTCAATATCAGGCTGCTTGTCAACGAGGAACCCCGCGGGGAAGCAGGCCAGGACCGGCTGCAGGTGGAGGAAAAGGACTTTCCCATGCCAGCATAAACCTGTAGTCTGCACACGGGACCTCCACATCCTGCCGATGTTTAGTCCTTTCCCCACACGGTCACAACAACTTCAAGCTGCAGGAAACAATTGTAGGTTCGTGTCATGTGAGGTCAATATTCAGTAAGAGCCATGTCGTTCTTTCAGAACAACCGATACCACTCGGACTACGAGACGGAGAGTAGCCGAGAAACCGTGCCAACGTCCTAAGCTGAAGGAATGTCAAGAAATGTCTGGTTGAATGGCACCCAACAAGATCAAGTAACGCGGACTATCACGTAGTCAGCCATGGACACGGAGGCCTAAGCGCTTGAAGAATTTTAACCAACTGAGACTGCTTTCTTGGCAACTGCCCACAAAAGCCGCGAAAATGAAGAAACTGGGATAGTTGCTGAGTGGAATCCCGGAGTTCAGCCGAAACATGGGCTGTTTGTGCCGCTTGTCGGCTGTTAATTCCATTCTGCAGCTGCCAATGTGCCATACAGCAGGCCCGCCAAGAACGTGGAGGCCCGCTTTTGCTGGGGATGTGGAGACCCCGCATAGTCAATTTGTGCCATGTGGCTTGGACCAACCACTCCCACATCGCAATTACTGTAGTACGGAGAAGAAGGAAAAGAGGCTAGTCAAGCCATCTGTTTTGCTTCGTCATTGGTCGCAATTTAGTCCATAGACTCCAGCCTAGCGAGTTGCACACCGAATGCTACACAAATGACAACATCACGGCAACATGGAGTCCCGGGGTATGGGGACGGTCTGTTCCAGTGTCGGTCTTTGCCCGGCAAGGGTCAAAATTATGATGAACAGTATGGCGAGGTACTCAAGTCCGAAGTCGCTATACGACGATGGTCGACAGCTCAAGCCCCGAATCGCGGCTATATGAAGGTCGTGAATCCCCTCGATTCTTGACCTTGAAGATCAGACCTATCGACTCTTCTCCCTCGTCCCTCTTCGGAACTGAAGATGAAGATCACGGTTCCCCTTCTTGCTGCTGCCCTGCATCTGGCAGGTACCGCTTCCGCACAAGACGATGCTGCCATCGCCGCCAATCTGGAAAAGTTCTGGTCCTATGGCCGTTCCGAGCCCGTCTACCCCAGCCGTAAGTGTAACTCCGAGACTCGTGATGTCTTATGACTAACGTACGCTCTGCTGCAACAGCTGAGACCCAGGGTCTGGGTGACTGGAAGCAGGCATATGCCAAGGCCAAGGCTCTCGTGGCTCAGATGACCAACGAGCAGAAGAACAACCTCACTTACGGATACACCTCAACCACCAACGGCTGTTCCGGTAACTCGGGAGGGGCTCCTGGCGTTGGATTTCCTGGCCTCTGTCTGCAGGATGCCGGCAACGGTGTCCGAGGCACCGACATGGTGAACGCGTACGCGTCCGGTATCCATGTAGGAGCTGCATGGAACCGCGATCTTGCCTACGAACGTGCCCACTACATGGGTGCCGAGTTCAAGCGCAAGGGTGTCAACGTTGCTCTGGGTCCCGTTGCCGGTCCTCTTGGTCGCATTGCCCGCGGCGGTCGTAACTGGGAAGGCTTCGCAAACGACCCGTACTTGTCCGGTTCCCTGACTGGAGAGACCATTCGTGGTCTGCAGCAGTCTGTCATTGCCTGTGTCAAGCATTTTATCGGCAATGAGCAGGAGACCAACCGTAACCCTCCGATGCTTCTGGAGGGCACCTACAACCACTCCGTCTCGTCGAACCTGGATGACAAGACCATGCATGAGCTCTACCTATGGCCCTTCCAAGACGCCATCAAGGCCGGTGCGGGATCCATCATGTGCAGCTACAACCGGATCAACAACAGCTACGGCTGCCAGAACAGCAAGGCCCTCAACGGCCTGCTCAAAGACGAACTGGGCTTCCAGGGTTTCGTCGTCACCGACTGGGGTGCCCAGCACGCCGGTATCGCCGCTGCGGACGCTGGTCTGGACATGGTGATGCCCTCTTCCGACTTCTGGGAGAATGGTACCCTCGCTCTCGCTGTCAAGAACGGCTCCCTAGCCCAGACTCGTCTGGATGATATGGCCACTCGGGTCCTGGCTTCGTGGTACAAGTACGCGGAGATCAAGGAGCCGGGACACGGAATGCCTGTCGATCTGCTGTCCCCTCATGAGTTGACCGACGCTCGCGACCCCAAGTCCCAGTCCACCATTTTCCAGGGTGCCGTGGAGGGTCACGTCCTGGTTAAGAACACCAACAACGCTCTGCCACTCAAGAAGCCCAAGTTCCTTTCTCTCTTCGGCTACGATGCTGTTGCCGCCACCCAAAACACCATGGACAACGTCACCTTTGGCCGCTGGGTCTTTGGACTGTCCAACACCCTGACTTATCCCAATGGCACCGCCGTCGACCCTACTATTACCATGGACATGTTCCTCTCGAGCTACGACCCCACTGCCAAGGGTCCCGGCGTCGCCCTGAACGGCACCCTGATCTCCGGCGGCGGGTCCGGAGCCAGCACGCCCTCCTACATCGACGCTCCCTTTGACGCCTTCCAGCGCCAGGCCCGCGAAGACAACACCTTTCTCGCGTGGGACTTTGCCTCGCAGAAGCCCCTCGTCAACCCCGCCAGCGAGGCCTGCATCGTCTTCATCAACGAGCAGTCCTCTGAAGGCTGGGACCGCCCCTACCTGGCCGATCCGTACTCCGACGAGCTGGTCGAGAGCGTCGCCTCCCAATGCAGCAACACCATGGTCGTCATCCACAACGCCGGTGTCCGTCTCGTCGACCGCTGGATCGAAAATGACAACATCACCGCCGTCATCTACGCTCACCTCCCCGGCCAGGATTCCGGCCGCGCCCTGGTCGAGGTCATGTACGGCAAACAGTCCCCCTCGGGCCGTCTCCCCTACACCGTCGCCAAGAACGAGTCCGACTACGGCAACCTGCTCAACCCCGTTGTTCCCGAGGGCGATCTGAACCGCTGGTACCCGCAGGACAACTTCACCGAGGGCGTGTACATCGACTACCGCGCCTTCGAGGCCAACAACATCACCCCTCGTTTCGAGTTTGGCTTCGGTCTCACATACACGAACTTCTCGTACTCCGCGCTCGACGTCGAGCTCCTCCCTGGCGTCAACACCGACTACCTGCCCCCCGGCTCCAGCATCGCCGAGGGCGGCCTCCCCTCTCTCTGGGACGTTGTGGCGACCGTCAACTGCACCGTCGCCAACACCGGCGCTGTGGAGGCGGCTGAGGTTGCCCAGCTGTATGTTGGTATCCCCGGTGGGCCCGTCAAGCAGCTCCGAGGCTTCGACAAGCAGTCTGTCAAGCCCCACCAGAGGAAGCACTTCACCTTCGACCTGACCCGTCGTGATCTGAGCACCTGGGATGTGGAGAAGCAGACGTGGGGATTGCAGGCTGGAAGCTACCCCGTCTATGTGGGTAAGAGTGTGCTGGACATTCAGCTCACTGGTACTTTGGAGATCTAATCCTGGATGAGATATGTGTGATGGTGGTGGCCTGTCGGTAAATCTTCGTTGTATATTTTATGTTATACCCATTGTGTTGATAATGAAAATCAACCACCGTGATCGGTCTATTGGTCATTCAACATATCGACAATATTATTACTTCATATCAGACATAAGCACTAACCTCATAATTGTACAATGCTCGTCACCTGAAATATAACCCCCCTACTCAGGATCCAAGATAGCCTTCCCTCCAATCGAGCAATCATATCTTAGATATATCTCACACCACACTTTTCACCCTCTTCTCCGCCAGGCCGGTCACCCTCGTACTCTGACCCACCAACGCAGACCCGACAACCGCACCCAGCACAAGCACAACCCCCACAAAAAGCTATCCAGATCAGCCCACGCCCCTCTCTCTCAAGCCACGACTCACCTGACGATCAATATCCCCCCGCGCCATAACCAGCGGCCCCACAACCGCCAGCGCGAACCCCAGCCCCTGCGCATAGTTCTTCGTCACGGAACTGGTAACCTGCACGCACCACGCCACCAGGAAGCCGCCGGAGGCCTGCAGAACGACAAACGCCCAAGCCAGGACAGTATACCCGTCAAAGAAGCGGGCAACATCTGTCCTGCACTTCCACAGGAACGAGAGCAGGGCGAAGAGGAAACTGTGTGCGGCGAGCTGCGCGTTGCGGACGAAGAAGCAGTTTGCTCGTTTGAGGGACCGCTCGATGCAGATCCCCCCCAGTGCGACGGAGGAGCCGGCGAGGAGCATGGAGAGGACGCCTGGGAGGAGGTGGAGGTGGGGGGGTG